AAAGAAATTAGGCCTTAGATTTGGAATGCACATTAGATAAACCTCCTGGTTAGATGATTGCAATGCATTGCCCTTGGGGCTGTCTTTGCAGATTGTCTGGAAAGCTTAGCTAGGTTAAAAAATGGCAGCATGAGGTTTGACTGGGACCAGGCACTATGAAGTCAAACCACCAGTTCTTTCTTGCGTTCACGGCTTCCAGCGAATGGTCTCCCTCCTGTGTGAAAATCTATTTTTTCCAAGCTTGTTTGGGAAAAATGGCAAGTTTTCTACAAGTCCCATACAAAACATTTTAATTCATCCTGCAATGCTTGAAAGGTATCCAGTATTCCGATGAGCAGAAAGGAGGTGGAGGGGAGAGAATAATAATTTTCATAGCATTTTACCAGCATCTGTTGACATGGGAAAGACAACACACAAACGGAGATCATGACTAATTTTGGAACACTAAAGCTCAGACAGCGGGATGCACTGTTGGTTAAACCACAGAGCCTAGGACTTGCCGATCAGAAGGTCAGCGGTTCATATCCCTGCGAAGGGGTGAGCTCCCGTTGCTCGGTCCCAGCTCCTGCCAACCTAGCAGTTCAAAAGCACGTCAAAGTGCAAGTAGATAAATAGGTACCACTCCGGCGGGAAGGTAAACGGCGTTTCCATGCGCTGCTCTGGTTCGCCAGAAGCGGCTTAGTCATGCTGGCCACATGACCCAGAAGCTGTATGCTGGCTCCCTTGGCCAGCAAAGTGAGATGAGCGCTGCAACCCCAGAGTCATCAGTGACTGGACCTAATGGTCAGGGGTCCCTTTGCCTTTACCTTAAAGCTCAAACAAGACTTCCTGCTTTGGATATCAGAGGCTTCTTTTGCATTTTAGAGCCACTGAAAACCAAAGCACAGGACAGGAGTAGTGCAGCAGAATAGAACAATGGGTTTACTGCTGCATCTGAAGAACTGGGGGCGTGGCCCAGGCCCTCTCTCCCAGCTATAAAGGGACTCCTGCTGCGGTGAGGCCTTGGACCATCGGCTGTGGGGAGGACTGCAGGGCCTGCTCCCTTCCAGGGCCTTTTCCAACTGGCCCAGGGGGCGTGGCCCAGGCCCTTATTTGGAACAAACTTTTGGGGAAGTTGGGAAGTGTTCTGCGATTGCTTCCCTGTTCCAAGTGGTTAATGTGTTTTAAATTGTCCTCAAGCAGTCGGTGGCAATTTAAATTCGTATTTCTTTTTTTCCCCTTTTTTCCTTTGTTGGGGGTGGGTGGGTGGGATGGATATTTGGTTGGGGATTAATTTTAGTATAATTGTTCTGTTTTTGTTTTTTGTTGTTTTATTGGTTCTGTATAGTTTGTGTTTTGTTTTTAAGGGGTGGGATCAGGGCTGCCTGGGAGTGGGCCCCCAGCCAACATGGCGGCTGGGACAAGTTCCACAGGGGGGGAAGCACTGGGACATCCGATCTCGGTGACCATGGGCAGGAGGAGGAGTTACGCTAAGACCAGACCATGTCATTACCGAGGAGGCAGGTTTAGTCGTTGTTTGAGGACTATCCCTGCCTCCGGGTCTGGCCTTGACCGGATGGATACTGGAATCAACAGGGGAAACCCACATGACCTGAAGGAGTTGCTGTGTAATGCCAGGTCAATTATGAATAAAACCACTACCATCCACGACTTGATTGTGGATGGAGGATTTGACCTGGCATGTGTGACAGAGACCTGGTTGGAGGAAGCAGATGGGCCTGTCCTTGTTGCTGCTTGCCCACCAGGTTTCTCTTACGCACAGCAACCCAGGTCATGTGGGCGGGGAGGGGGGGTTGCAGTGATTTTCAGGAAGTCATTAGCCTGCATCAGGCGTCCTACTGGAAAGACCCAGTTTTCTGAGTGCATGTTCTGGAAGTTGGGCAATAGGGGCAGTACAGGATTCCTTTTGGTGTACCGACCTCCCCACTGCACCAAGGATTCCCTGTCCGAGCTGCTTCAGGTCGTGGCGGATGTTCTCCTGGAGACACCTAGTTTGGTTGTCCTAGGGGATTTTAACATCCATGCCGACACGAGCTTACAAGGGGCCGCTTGGGACTTCGTGGAAAGCATGGCCTCCATGGGGCTGTCCCTGAATAAGTTGGGCCCAACTCATAGTCATGGACATGCCTTAGACCTGGTATTCACCTCTAGTGACGTGGGTGATCTGACACTAAGTAAAAGTGAAACAAAAGAAGTGCCATGGTCAGATCACTTCCTGGTGCAACTGGACTTCTCCGCGACCCTTCCCCTCTGCAGGGAGGTGGGACCAATTCTGATGGTCCGCCCCCGCCACTTAATGGATCCAAATGGTTTCCAGAGAGTGGTAGGGGATGCTTTATCCCATGTTGATGGGCTTTCAGCTGATTCCCTGGTGGCCCGCTGGAATGCGGAGTTAACCAGGGCTATCGACTGTCTGGCTCCGAAGCGCCCTCTCCGATTGCATGAAGCCTGAACAGCCCCGTGGTTTTCTTCGGAGCTGAGGGCGATGAAACAATCGCTGAGACGGCTAGAGCGTCGGTGGCAGAAAACTCACTCCGAATCTGACCGGACACAGGTTAGAGCTCAACGTCGAGCCTACCAAGTGGCGATAGCGACGGCGAAGAAGACTTTCTTCACTGCCTCTATTGCATCTGCAGAAAATAGTAGCAGGAGACTCTTTCAGGTGGTCCACAATTTAATGGAACCACCTTTACCACCGGGGCCTTGTAAAGACCCCGAGATCTCCTGCAACGATTTTGCAAAGTTTTTTGCAGATAAAATCACTCATACTCGGAAGTAGCTAGACACTACTGTGGGAGCAGGGCTGGGGTGGGAGAGTGCTAGAGCCCTGTCTGGTCAAGTTGCATGGAATCAATTTCAATCCGTTACCTCCGAGGATGTGGACAGGCTGTTTGGACGCGTGAAACCAACCACCTGTCTCCTTGATCCTTGCCCATCCTGGCTAATAAAAGCAAGCCGGGAAGGGCTGGGCGATGGGCTCTGCAGGGTGGTGAATACTTCCCTCTGTGAGGGAACATTCCCAGATCCGCTGAAAGAGGCGGTCATTAAAACGCTTCTTTAAAAACCATCTTTAGACCCGGCCAGTGTGGCCAACTATCGCCCAGTTTCAAATCTTCCATTCTTGGGCAAGGTAATTGAGCGCGTGATTGCTGAACAACTCCAGGCACACCTGGAGGATGCGGACCATTTGGATCCCTTCCAATCGGGGTTCAGGCCTCATCATGGGACTGAAACTGCCTTGGTCGCACTGGTTGATGATCTCCGGCAAGCTAGGGACAAAGGTGAGAGTTGTTTCCTAGTTCTGCTGGATCTCTCAGCGGCCTTTGATACAATCGACCATAACATCCTTCTGGACCGTCTAGAGGGGTTGGGAGCTGGGGGCACTGTTATACAGTGATTTCGCTCCTTCCTCCTGGGCCGTGTTCAGAAAGTGGTGGGGGGGGATGAGTGTTCAGACCCTTGGGCCCTCACTTGTGGGGTGCTTCAGGATTCCGTCCTCTCCCCCATGCTTTTTAACATTTATATGAAGCCGCTGGGAGAGATCATCAGGGGGTTGGACTGGGTGTCCATCAATATGCAGATGATACCCAGCTCTACCTCTCTTTCAAATCAGAACCAGTGAAGGCGGTGAAGGTCCTGTGTGAGTGCCTGGAGGCGGTTGGAGGATGGATGGCGGTTAATGGATTGAAGTTGAATCCTGAATAGGGTAACTGTGCCCCTGAAGGACCAGGTGCGCAGCCTGGGAGACATTTTGGACTCACAGCTGTCCATGGAGGCGCAGGTCAATTCTGTATCCAGGGCAGCTGTCTACCAACTCCACCTGGTACTCAGGCTGAGACCCTACCTGCCCGCGGACTGTCTCGCCAGAGTGGTGCATGCTCTAGTTATCTCCCGCTTGGACTACTGCAATATGCTCTACGTGGGGCTACCTTTGAAGGTGACTCGGAAACTACAACTAATCCAGAATGCGGCAGCTAGACTGGTGACTGGGGGCGGCCGCCGAGACCACATAACACTGGTCTTGAAAGACCTACATTGGCTCCCAGTACGTTTCCGAGCACAATTCAAAGTGCTGGTGTTGACCTTTAAAGCCCTAAACGGCCTCGGCCCAGTATACCTGAAGGAGCGTCTCCACCCCCATCGTTCTGCCCGGACGCTGAGGTCCAGCGCCGAGGGCCTTCTGGCGGTTCCCTCATTGCGAGAAGCAAAGCTACAGGGAACCAGGCAGAGGGCCTTCTCGGTAGTGGCGCCCGCCCTGTGGAACGCCCTCCCATCAGATGTCAAAACGATAAACAACTACCTGACATTCAGAAGACATCTTAAGGCAGCCCTGTTCAGGGAAGTTTTTAATGTATGATATTTTAGTATTTTTTGGTTTCTATGGAAGCTGCCCAGAGTGGCTGGGGAAACCCAGCCAGATGGGCGGGGTACAAATAAAATAAAATAAAATAAAAAAACTGCCACTCACAACCAGCCAGGATAAAAGAGCAGAGCAAATATTTCCTACTTCCCTTTGTTGTGCCAGCTCCAGGCTGCTGCAGCAGAGGTTCTGGGATCAGTCCCCTCTCCAGAAAATGGCCTCTCCATCTCCTAGTCCATCCATCTCCTAGTCTCTCTCCCCACCCCCGTAATGCCCCATTTGGGGTCACCCCATTTTGGCTGGCAGTGGCACTTTCAGCAGACTTTGGAGGGGGGAGTTATGTAGCCATGAAGCCATGACCCCTCTGCCTCATCCTAACTCCCTCCGGCAGCACAAACCAGGGGTCACGATTGCCCTCCACAATTTGCAACCATTGCAGCACAAAAACAGTTGTTTTTTAATTGTGTTGTTAGCAGTTCCCACACTCAAATTAAATCCAGCTGGCTTCTTATTTTAAAGCCAACAGTTTTTCGCAAGATGTCATATCAGTTTCACAGCTCTAACATTTTTTTAAAGTTGTGGCTGTGTCTGCTTTAATCACCAAAAGGGGTGTGCTGGAAGATGATAACTCAGACAGTGTGTCATGCAGTATTTATTATAAAAGGTAAAGGAACCCAGGATGGCTTTTTGTACTTGTCTTTACCTTTCTCCACTTTCCTCCGTTTTTGCATCTTAAACTACATGATCAATGATGCAAAGGACTACCGTCTATGATGCAGCATTCTCTTATTTAGAAAATAAGTCTGATAATCATCCTCTTAAGATTCCTCAAATGTGGCCACAATTGCCATTGGTGTTTAAAAAATAATAATACATATTTTATTTCTATGTGCTTTGACTACACCTGTGATTTTAACGACGGCATTCTGTATAGCAGGCAAAATTTCAACAGGTGAAGCTTCCTTGCTCGCAGTTTTTTCGTGTCAGTGAAAATCGCACCTACAGATTTTCTGCGGGGAGGCAGGAATGGAGGCAGATTAGAGGGCGCGACTGGCAGGACAAGAGAAGAAGCTATGGGGCGCGGGGAGGGGTCCGACGAAGGACTGAACTGTGTACCATCAGTTCTGCTGAGCAGCTGCAGCTGAGCCCTGCCATCTCTGACATTTTATCCATTCGTAAGCCTTGGCTGAGTGAAGCGATCCCGAGCGAGCAGCGCAAGGGGTCCCCGCAAGGCGACCGCCGATCAATTCACAGGATCGCGCGCACGGATTCCTCCCCACGTGCTTTCTTCTCGCCTCCTGTCGCTGCCGCCGCGCACGAGACATAGGGAACAAGGAGTCCCAGTGCCGCCCCGACTGCCAAACCCAAACGGACAGATAGTACGGAAACTGCCGCGGCTTTCTCTGCCCCACCTTCTCCTCCATCACCAGAGGGTGCCCAGAAGCCCGGGAAGCACAGACGACGCTTGGATCTGGCTGCGAGAGGAAGGCAGCGAGCGAGCGGCGTCGGGGAACTTTCGCCCTCGGATCCGCGTTCATTCCAACCAGCCAGCCTGCCGCTAACCAAGATCTCTCTGTCCCGGCGGCGCTGCGCGAAGCTCTTGATGCGCCCCGTCCAGGATCCAGTGCGTCCCCACGATGCCTGCGGGAGCCGCAGCCACGTCTTTGATGCAGGCGAAGGGACCCTGTTAGCTGGGTGGCGGCCATAGGAGACCCTCCTGGACGGCGGTCGGCTCCGGGAGCCCGTGGGCGCCCTCTGATGGAGAACGCCTCCAACGGCAGCCAGGGGCCCCTGGAGCCCCGGGCCCCTGGCGGGAATGGGGTGGCGCTAGGCGCCTGCTTGCTCTGGCTGCTGGTTTTGAGCACCTTGCTGGGCAACGCCCTGGTCTGCCTGGCCATCATCCGGTTTCGCCACCTGCGCGCCAAAGTCACCAACTGGTTTGTGCTGTCACTGGCCTCGTCTGACCTGTGTGTGGCGCTGCTGGTCATGCCCTGGCAGGCAGTCACGGAGGCGGTGGGCGGGGTGTGGCTCTTTGGCACCCGTTTCTGCGACACGTGGGTGGCCGCCGACATCATGTGCTCCACGGCCTCCATCCTCCATCTCTGCATCATAAGCCTCGACCGCTACTGGGCCATCGCCAGCCCCTTCCGCTACGAGCGGCGGATGACCCGGGGCCTGGCCTCCGCCATGATCGCCCTGGCCTGGACCCTCTCTGTCCTCATCTCCTTCATCCCTGTCCAGCTCCATTGGCACAGAGTCCAGGAGCAAGGGGGGACTGACCCACAGTTGCCACGTTGTGATGCCAGGCTCAACCCCACGTATGCCATCACCTCCTCCCTGGTCAGCTTCTACATCCCTGTGTCCATCATGATTGGCACTTACGCAAGGATCTACCGCATCGCCCGGGCTCAGATCCGCCGCATCTCATCTCTGGAAAAGGCCGGAGGGCTGGGCTTTGCGCAGGGGAAAGAGCCCGCCTCTTCGCTGCGCAGCTCGCTCTGCAAGGAAACCAAGGTCCTCCAGACGTTGTCCATCATCGTGGGGGTATTTGTCTGCTGCTGGCTGCCCTTTTTTGTCCTTAACTGCCTGCTACCCTTTTGCGAACCGAGGCCCGGCAGCGGGGTTTCTGGGCAAGCTCTCTGCGTCAGCCAGACGACTTTCCGCATTTTCATGTGGCTTGGCTGGGCCAACTCCTCGGTCAACCCAGTGATCTACGCTTTCAATGTGGACTTTCGGAAGGCTTTCAGCAGCCTCTTGGGCTGCCACCGCCGCCCTTGTTGGGCTCCAGGCAGGTCCGCCGTGGAGAGAGTCAACCTGAGCCACGAGCTGGTCTCCTATCACCACGACTCCTCCTCCCACAAGAGCGGAGGAGAGCCAGTTCCGTCACCTCTCCCCACCATTGCTGCCTGGCATCGATCCCTGCCCCACACAGTGAGCTCCCAAGGAGAAGGCGAGAGCAATGGAGGAATCCTGCCAGAGAACGAGATGTTGTCCTCACGTCAGGCCGCTCAGAGGAGCAACAGCAAAAACCTTCACCTGCCAGCTTTGCTCCCCTCTGAATGTGAGGCTGTGGTATCTTTGGAGACTCTTGATCCCTTTGCAGAGATTACTGGGCACTAGAATCTTTACTGCCACATCCCAGCGGTATGTGGATGGGACCATGTAGTGGCCACAAAGGAACACAATCACATAAGAAGAGTCCTGCTGGTTCAGACTGAAGGCTTATCTAGTCCAGCATTTTCTTTCCCCACAATGGCCGACTAGATGTGAATAGGAAGCTCACAAACAAGACACAAGGCCTTTCACTGTCTCCTACTGTTGTTCCCCAGTGACTGGTATTCAGAGGTGCACTGGCTCTGATTCTGGAGGTATCACATAGCTGTCAGAACTACTTATTTATTTAGGGATATCTATGCTGTCCAATCAACTGTGAGGATGGTTCACTTGTTGTTGGCATCCGTCTCTCTTAGGAGAGTGCACCTTCAGGGTAAACTCAAACAGCTTTAGTCAAACAGAGTTACAGCGCCTGCTGTGGCTGTAGACATTGATACAGGAGAGACATGTTTGATTGCAGCTGGGACAGATGAAGGTGTCCAGTTTTGCTTCTACAGGTGCACCTTAGTGTTTCTCCTCTCTGTGCTCCACTCTGCGGTCATTCCTCCTCTGGTCATTGCTATGGATACATGGCCTGTCTGTCTGTCTCCAGGGGTTCACTATTACATGTTTAATAGCCACTGATAGCTCTATCTGCCATGCATGGCTTCTTCGCAGTTGGGATCATGACCTAACTAAAATGGCAGGGCCCGATCACTTGGGACCTATCCATTGGCACCCAGCTCATATGGTTGGGTCCAATGAAGTTTTGCATGTTTGATCAGAACAGAAGTCCTAGCGTGTGCAGTGGGTCTTATGCCTAGGTTCGGATTGGTTTGGAGCCTTAGACATTACTCCTGAGTCTGCAACAATCTGCACGAAAGTTCTTTCCTTCATAACTGAGTAGCGATCTACTAGTCTTTCTCTTAGAGTGTATCCAGAGGCAATGGTAAGACTGAAGGTTGATTGTCTAACACAGGCTTCCTCAAACTCGTCCTTCCAGATGTTTTGAGACTACAGTTCCTATCATCCCTGACCACTGGTCCTGCTGGCTAGGGATCATGGGAGTTGTAGTCCAAAAACATCTGGAGGGCCGAGTTTGAGCAAGCATGGTCTAACACAAGAGCCATGATTCCCAACTCTGTGATGTGAGAGGAGCTGAAACAGATATTTAAGAAACTGAAGTACAGTGGTACCTCGGGTTAAGAACTTAATTCGTTCTGGAGGTCTGTTCTTAACCTGAAACTGTTCTTAACCTGAAGCACCACTTTCACTAATGAGGCCTCCTGCTGCCGCTGTGCCTCCGCTGTTCTCATCCTAAAGCAAAGTTCTTAACCCGAGGTAATATTTCTGCGTTAGCGGAGTCTGCAACCTGAAGCGTATGTAACCCGAGGTACCACTGTATCTTAATGCATTCACCAGTCTTTGGAACAGGAAGCCCCCATGTGCAACACTTATTTGCCCCCACCATCTTTCACTCTGCCAAGATATTGGTGCTGACATCATCCTGATCAGTGGCGGAGGAACCCTCTCTGTCACTTGGGGCAGGACGCCGAGGGGCGGGGCAAATCGCCTGGTGACGCATGTGCGACGTCTGTAGGGACTGCGCATGTGCGGCAGCCCATATGGTCACCACGCGAGCGGCAGCCCATACGGATGCCCGTACGGACACTGTGCACAAGCGGCAGTCCGTGCGGACTGTGCAGGTGTGGCAGCCTGTATGGACACCATGCGAATGCGGCGTGAGCGGCGCCCACACTGACTGTGTGCGCACCCTCCATCACTCTACAGCTGGGGGAGGCAGCGGGCCATCTTGTCACCGCCCCGGGCACCCTCCGCCCCCCCCCTTTGTACACCCCTGATTGCCCTAAGCACGGGGTGGGGAATGTGTGGCTCTACAGATGTTGCTTTCGATATTGTTGGACTGCAATTTCCACCCCAAAGCAACCGTCATCTGTGCCTGTGCAACAGCTGTCTCAAGTGCACACACCTCAGTTTCACTGCAAAGTGAATGTGGCTCACGTTTGCAAATGGGATGGGAGCAAGATAGGTATGGATTTTGGCCAATGCCATGTGTACACGGCTTCAAGCAACAGCAGTGGGAGTGTGCTGGAGCTACAGTAAATGTGTACAAGAGCCTAAGGCTTTGATGGCACTGTGAGTTCCTGTTGTTGCAGAGCAGCTGTAGAAGGGTGGACTGGACTGAGAAAAGTATTATCATCTGCTTCATTACCAGGGATGTGAAGACAGATGGTTAATTGCATGTTTCTGTACATATATAAATATGTGCTTTGACATTATGGTAATGAGCTGTGTAAATTATGCCCAGGCGCAGTGCAGTAATTATTTCACATCTTACTGTGCTGCCCACAACTTTTAACAGAGCTGTACAATTTATAATGTTAAATCTTCTTTGATGGTAACTGAATGTATAAATCAATGGAAGTTTATTTTTGCCTTCCTCTTGTATGTATGTTTAAAGCCCCCCAAGATCACTATTAGAACAATACTCTACAAGTTATGTAAAATACATCATGTGGGGCACAGTTACCTAGCCCCTGTGCTTGTATTTAACAGGGCTTGCTCTGGGCTTAAAATATCATCTATTGCATTGGTATTTAAGCTTGTATAGGCTGCTGCTCTATATTGGGATTATGCTGTTCAAAAGAAATGTGAAGCCAGTGGGGTTGCACAAGTTCTAATGAAGATATGATTATATGGGAAATGTAATTATTTGTTTCTCTCTTTTTTATGGTACTGTTTGGCTCTCTGGAAAATGAAATCTAGCAGAAATGCATTTCCATAAGGGGGAAAAAATCCAACTTGGCTATTAAAGAAAGGCTCTTTAAAAGCTTGGTACAATTTTGCCAAAATGAACACTTCTTTCATTTGAATCCAGCATAATAATACAGCTACATCAAGCAGGCGTACTGTTTTCCTATCCTTTTGTCTCAGTGACAAAAATCATGTTCACAACAACAGCCATAATCTGTATTACCTCTAGATTTTGTAGCATTTGTGCCAGGTCACCAGATCAAGACTCATTACATGGTCCAAGCTCTCACACTGGTATATTGAGTTTTTAAAAAACACTCCTATCTAGCAAGGGAGCTGCTACAGATCTATTTTTGAATTGGGAAATGCATGTATATAGTTTTCCTAGATGGATTTCAGGCACCGTGGCTATCAAAGCTTGGAGGCAGAAGTCCAAGGTCCCACTCAGGAAAGTGAGTAGGAGATCGCCCAAACTGACCTAGCACTTTTTGAATTACTGTATTTTCTGCTCTATAAGATGCACCAGACCACAAGACGCACCTAGTTTTTGGAGGAGGGGGGGAAAAAAAAATTCTGAATCTCAGAAGCCAGAACAGCAAGAGGGATCTCTGCGCAGTGAAAGCAGCAATCCCTCTTGCTGTTCTGGCTTCTGGGATAGCTGTGCAGCCTGCATTCACTCCATAAGACGCACACACATTTCCCCTTACTTTTTAGGAGGGAAAAAGTGAGTCTTATAGAGCAAAAAATACGGTAAGTCAGTAATGCACAAGACCAACTAAAGCAGAGGTGGGAAGACTTTGGCCCTCCAGATGTTGTCAATGGCTGTCTCATCCCTGGCTGTTTGCTATGGTGGCTGAGTCTGATGGCAGCTGGAGTCAAACAACATCTGGAGGACCAAAGATGAGCTAACCCCTAGTTAATATGATGGGTTGCTGGTATATGGGAACCCCTGTGTGCCCCCCAAATCTGTTCTGAGGACATGCAAGTGGCTGGATGGAGGAGAAGACAAGCTGGAAGTCTCCCGCACACATGGATTTCTGTTGAACAAGCGAGCAGACATCATTGGATGTCACCCATTGTCTGTTGAATAGACTTGATTTACATTTGCAGCAAGGGATGTAATATTAGGCCAGCAAAATCTTAACACTTTTTCCTGAGAAGGTTGTATTCAGATGAAACCCAGTCAAGTCATTATGTAAGTAGTCAGTTGGATATATTTCACTAAATGTTTTATATAAATTATAAAGGATTAAAAGTACTTTGCAAAATTATTGCTTACCTCTACAAAAATCGAAAAGATTGCTTTATGCATATTGCCAATTTTTCCATAAAATAAAGTCATGAATGCTGACTTAGCAACAAAGTTTTATATCTGTTGAGTATAATTCTATACAGTTGACTGCAGTCTGAATGTATGATTGCTTTCTCAGAAATGCAAGTAGCAGTCAGATCACCAATATCCATTTTCTTGCAAAACACTTAACTGAGGGTATGTATGCGTTAGCGGCTTAAACACAATGAGGTCACACACACACACACACACACACACACAAACAAACACTACATTTCACATTACTCTTGGGGGAAAGCCATTACAATTAAAGTAGAATTTGATAGGTATACAGTACATTGGTTTGACACAAAATGGCTGAAATATAACAAGGTGAAAGCTAGCATGGGAATACAGAATATTAATCACTACGGAGCTGGGGGGAAATTACAGTTCTTCCTGGATGAATGAAAGTGCCATGAACTTTGCTAGCTTTAGATACAACTGCCAGGCATTTTATATGCTCTCTCGGCCCAAAAGCGGAGATGAGTGATGCACCCCATAATCAAATTCGACTGGACTTAACTGTCCAGGGGTCCTTTACCTTTACCTTTTACGTATATTTCTTCCAAATTAGTAGCACTGCAATTTTGAAAGTGAGCTCTACTTTGAGCAGAACTGAACTTACTATTATTATTACAGAAACAGAACTCTAGGAATAATTATCTAGACAGAGTTTCAATATGGGCCCCTAGGTTACGTAGCAGTATGGCTCATTATAACATTCCAAAATAGCAGTGATCCTTAAGAAGAAACTGTGATGCATCCATCTGTTTCACTTGAGCTCCAAATGAACCTCTTGTCAAGAAACCTATCAACAGTTATGCCATCATTTCCCAGTATTCCCTCTTTTGGCGCCCAAAGTGCATTTGAACATAAAGCAGATACGTGATACTAATTACTAAACCGGGCACAAAGACGACAACAACTGGGAGTAAAAATAAAAGTATTAAATGGTTCCTCCTATCTGAGTTTTAGAAAAATGAACTCATTGGCTGGATTATGTGACAACACATCCTCACAGCTAGCAAATCTGTTGGGTAACTTTAGGTCGGTCATTATCTCTTAGTCCATTTTACCCCACAGGCAGAGGTCGGGGCTAGCCAACCGTGGTGAGCGGTGAGCGTCCCAGGGGTTGGGGCGGCGATATCACACCCCCTCAGGGGTGACACCTGGGGCGGACCGCACCCACCACACCCCCTTCCTCCTCCAGTGTCCACAGGGTCGTTGTGAAGATAACGGGTGAGGAGAACACTACCCCAACCTCTTTTGGGGAGGGGGGAGAGTAGGATAATAGATATTTTTGTGGAGGAAGGGGGAGACCCACATTTGCAGTTTGCATCTCCCCTGCCGAGAGCCTGAGGGTCCCGTTCCTGCTTCTCTCCACCTGGCCTAGGGCGGGGCCTGACTGGCCTCATAAGGACTACTGCTGAGGCTGCTGCCCAGCATGGACTGGGGTATTGGAGGGGAAGTTTCATTGGGAGATTTTGCTGTTGTTACTGATATTAACTGATATTAACTTTTTGTATCGTTTTTATGTGGAAATTGTTCAGTTTGGTTATGTAGTTTTTAATGTGTTTTATTTATTTTTATGACCACTTTGCTGTGTTTGTAATTATGCAAATCGTTTCGTATTGGAAGTCGTCTTGAGGATTGTTTTAACTGTGGAAAGGCGGCATACAAAAAAAAAATAATGATGGTAGTGATTACCAAAAAAGAAAAGAAAAGAAAGTCCAGTGAACATTAAAATGCTCCCTACGCATGATCTGGATCAGGCCCCCATGCTGGCAATTTGAAGAAGAACAGAAGTCAAGTGTAGCTTCTCCCTCATCACCTTGATTGGGGTCTGATTATGTGCAAACAGTACAACGGATATTTTGACACATTTTCTCAACTGTGCCACGGTGCACACCCTCAGTGAGATTCTCCTGCAACCGTGTAAAACTGCCACACCTTCCATCGCAAGGCACACATTTTTTCAGAGCAGACTTTGTAGTAAGCACTGAAAGAGTTTGCTGGCAGTTCTATTTGTTTTTTTCTAGAACATTTTTACTCCATTAATTTTGGCCGTCATTTGAATCCCCACACCATAGCAAGCGTGTTTACATTTTGTTCGATATCTTCACAGCTTGCAAGGTCTGTGGGAAGAAAAGAACAGGCTGTGAATATACCTCCACCTCCACATTCATCCCTGTCATTCTCCCTGTTCCTGTCTCCTGATTCACCTCCACATATGTTCATCCTGGTCATGCAAATAAACTTCCTAGTTTCTCTACCAACACAGTGTTCCCATGCATTCTGACACCTGTGCATCACTCCATCAGCTGTCCTGAGCATCTATTTTGGTAGAAGGAAGAACGTGTCTCAGCTGTCTAGATGATGATGATGACATCACCTCGTGTTGGGATGGAGAACCTGTGGCCAGCTGTTGTTGGAGCCAACTCCCATCAGCCACAGTCAGGGATGTTGAGAGTTCGCATCAGAAAATCTGGAGAGCACTAGATTCCAAGCACATGATTTAACACATAAGCTACAATTCCCAGGATTATCTGAGGGAAGCTATGTCCTTTAAATGTGCATTAAATGTATGTTGTGGATGTGACCTTGGTGACTTTTCTGGTTAAAGTGAGACTTGAAGGACAGTGTTCTCAGCTGACATTTTGGAGCAGTCATACTAGCAGGAAGTGAAAAATGAAATTGTTTGTTAGTCATAGCTTGTTTTTGGACAACCTCATTAGCCTCCCATTTTTATTATGTTTACACTAAGGAACTGTGGGTTCTTGGTCACTATCCCATCCTCAGTCCATACCCTCTTCAAAATAGCCTCCTCATATTGTTGGCTGCTTTTGGGGGGCAACATATGGCTTTTTAAAACGTAAGAAGAGTCCTACTGGATTAGGCTAAAGTACCATCTAGTTCAGCATCCTGTCATAGGACCCAACCAGGGGCCTTTAGGAAGCTCACAAGACCTGAGTGCAATAGCAACTATTTGTCTATTGGAAAGTTGGTCATCTGATTGGTGGCATCTGCAAATCCCCATGCTATGCACAGCACTCTGAAACCCTGTTAATCAGCTGGTCATCGGTGAGGCTTTAAAGCACTGCACAAGGCTGTCTGCAAGCACTGACAATCAGTTGGTGGTTAGGACTTCAAAATGCTGCTCACTGCTTTCTGCGAGATCAGTTGATAATTGGTTCTTGTACAGAATTGTGTGAGGCACATTGAAGCCATGACAACCAGCTGATTGTCTGGACTTCAAAGTGCCACACTAGGTGGGTTTGCACTAAAAAAAAAGCTGGTCACCTAACATTGTTAGGTGATGTCAGATGATTAAGATCTGAGCAGCCTCCATGCTGAACTTGGCCTTTGGGGCAAAGCCAGCCCTGTACCGTAGTGGATTCTAAGTAGAAATGAGTGTAAAAAGCAACACAATCAAGGTTAGCATTAAAGCCATATGAAAATTAGACTTACAAGGACAGATTTCAGTGAACGGCATTACTTCTTTGGAAAGCTTTGCTTTCATTCTCAGAGAAATCTATCTGTTCCCAGTGGCTGAGCTCCTGAGAGTGTAGCAGAGGTTCTCAAAACAGTGCAGTCCTGCTTTGAAAGCTAACCATAGTTATCGCCCCTGTCATTATGAGCTGCTTCATGTTCAAGCCAGTGTGGTGTGCTCATAAATCCTTTGGTTCAGAAGCTTAAGGTAATTGTCTCAGAGATTTCAGTAACACGCAGGATGATAACTGTGTAGTGTATTTCAGGCTGAAAACGACCTCTTTCTTCCCTAGATCAATGCATTTTCATTCTATCCAAGTCCTATTTCCACAGTGTGAGGCAGAAGCCACTCATGTTTTAAATCATTTTTGGTATGCAAGTGATATAAGAAAGTGCAATTTTGCATCCAAATGAAGGCTGGGGTTGCCTACCTTCTGGCTATTACGATTGCCAGTAAGCTGCATCAGGGAAGTTGGCAGAGGCTTGAGAGCTGGTTTGATAGTGTCATAGATCTAGAGTACCAGAGTCTGTTAGTGAATAGTAGAAATTAATAAACACTAGTATTTACATAATATTTGTGATATGAGGCGAAAATAGAAGCTGCAGAACTGTGCCAGACAATTAGCAAGTGAGCTATTAAGGAACAATGGGGAACCAGTACTTAGCCATTAAGGGTCATTGGCAATGGAAAAGAACTGTCCCCCTCCCCAACCAGGAGGTGGTGTGTGTGTGTGATGTCACAGGAAAATTTGTCCTTTTTGAAATCTAAAGGTATTCCGGAAAGAAGGAGGAAATACGCAAAACCATCTTGGTACTGGCTGGAGGAGGTTGCACTGAGAAATTGGGAGCCATGACTGACCACTTCTTTGGACCCAGCCTTGCTGAAGCTATAAGAGGGGCAAGGAGAGACACTCTTGGGATATAATGTTCTGCACCCCATCCATTGAAGGTACAAAATGAACCATATTTCGTAAAAGACACTAGCCTCCACTGTGTCTTGATTTTTCCAACAGAAACACAACAGTGGGTGATCTCCTAGAACCCCCAGGAAATTGGCTACCCCCTTGGCAGAGATTAAGGGTGGTGTGCAACCTTCCTAACAGTATGTTAACTCAGAAGTAGGTTTCAATGGGATTTTCTCCCAGGTAAGTGGTTCAATCCAATGCACACACTCCTGGAAGTAAGTAAGCTCCATAGAACATTGTCCTTCTGAGTAATTATCCTTAGGGTTTCACTGTAAGGATCTGAAATAGAAAGTTCTTGCTCCAAAACTCGTGTCTGTTGCAGACCCACTAGAGATGCGAGCCACATTTTTCCTGCCACAGCACTGTAACTGCAGCATGAGTGACCCCTGCCTTAAAGGGAAGCTGTGAGCAATTCTGAAGCTTCTCCCACAGACACTGTATATTAATTATATAGACTCAGTAAATGGAAGGGAATCAGGATCATGACAGAAAACCTCTTCTTGCCCTCCAAACATAAAGCTTATACATGTATAAGCTATTTGTGGAAAGGCTCTGTGTATGAACAATCTATGTATCGTCTGGTACTATTCAGTCAGATTGCATGGAGAAATCCTACACAGAGAGTGAATTCTGAGATTACCTTTGCACATTAATCTCATTTATTTATGTTGGTTTACATTTTTAACTGATCAGAGCCTGAACACTTAGAGCAGCGAACAACTTCTCACAACAATTAATTTCAAGTAATCAGAATACTCAGTATTTCACATCTCATGCCCTTTTCAGATGTTCTAAAAAAAAAAAAAAAGACTCTTCAAAGAAAAAGGTGTAAGAAACCTCTCAGGGTCCACTTTCAGTAGCCCCTGCACTACAGTATTAGAAGAGAAGGCATCCCTGCTTTTTAAAAAAATGGCCACTAGGTGTCTCCTTTATGCTGAAAAATGGATTATTGTCTCTAATTTGCTCTTTCGAATAGCTGATGAGACTATGAAAATAGCTCGTGCAGCCGTTGTATTAAATCTGCTGTGTTGCAAAAGGGGGGGGGGGCGAAATGTAATTATTTAACAATATTTATTTAAAATATGTATACCTCTCTTTTCCATACACATTCGAAAGAAAATCTACAACTAACCTAAAACACCATAAAATTCCATTATGACTAACTTATAAGTAAACCACCAGTTCAGTCACTTCTACCAAGTATGAAACTTTTAAAATTAAAGAAGAACTCTCCATCTCTCTCAAGCTGTCCCCCCCCCCCCTTTCAAGGTCACTGACATGCTACAAATGAGCAACACGGCTATGTGCGGGCAGACTAGCACAATGTTTAATCGGCTAGCAACTTCAGCATGCTTATTTACAAGGCTGCATTATAAAATAATAATAATAATAATAATAATATCAACTGCAGTAGAGATTATTTTTTTAAAAAAACTTTAGCAGTCACTGAGCTTCAAGCTCTGTAGGCTTCCAACAAATTACCTTTGCAACATAAAAGATTAACTGAAAAGGATTGATCTTACATTTTGTGTGACTGTGCTCTGTACTATTTTATTCAATTTGGTTGCAGTTATGTACCAGCAAAACAACATCTTATGTACTGTCTCTCTCTAAAAGTGGTACAAACTTAAAGGGAGAGTTGATTTCATTGCTCCAAACTTTCGGCAGACAGTTGTCATTAAAGTTGTGTAGCTTTGGCTCCTTGACAGTTAAATTCATTTTTGAGGTGTTAGGCAACATTACAAAACAAATGGCAGTAGTCTAAGCAAATGAAACGCTTTTGCCTACAAGGAGCAGAACCTGCCATGGCCATCTTAATAGTAAGAACTATTTGAATGGGCACCGTGAATGATCATTACTTTGCAATAGAGCTAATGCTGTAGAGTGATTAAATTGAACAGAGCAGATAGTGGGGGCTACTGTGAGATGAGCAGTAACAAATTCTGCCAGTGAGTATTGGGATCATATTTATTTAGCTATTCAGTACGTTGACTATAAATACATAAAGAACAGAACATGATTGCTCTTTGTCAAGAGGTTTGTTTTTCAGGATTCTCCTCTTGCTCTCTCTCTCTCTCTCTCTCTCTCTCTCTCTCTCTGTGTGTGTGTGTGTGTGTGTGTGTGTGTGTGTGTTTGCATGCATAAGACTGGGGAGGGGCATCGGCTGTGGCTGGCCCCTACTGGACTGTTGATAACACATGCATGCTCTGTACAGTTCTCTAACAGAGACTACGGTTACATGCAGGCTTGCAGTTTTCCTGGAGAGATCTCTGCCTCTTGCAATGAACTGTAAGTATAACTGCCAGAAGGAGGGTGGGGGGAATCAGTACTGGAACTGTTTAATTTAGCTTGGTGACAAGTTTGGGGATTCTCCCATGCAGTTTCTTTGGTGTTGCAATAAGCAAAAATATTTGTTTTTTGCACCATGCAACCAGTGATCTCACATCCAAATTAACCAACAGATTCATTATGTCTTAAGAGCAGCACCAAACTGGAGAGATGCTTTTGCATTTGGAAAATGCATGAAAGAAAACCTGGAAAGCAGGAAAGAAATTGGGAGTTTGAAATGTCTTTCTTAAAAGCAGGATGGGGGCGTGGAGAAGAGAGGAAGGCAGCAGTAGAAAAGAGCACTTCAACGAAACCTTGCTATCACTTTTCTGGTATCATAGAAAGAAATCTGATAGATTTCTAACAACACAATCTTATATGTGTTTACTCAGACGTAAGCCAATTGAGAACAACGGTGCTTACTCTGAATGCATCTTAAACGAATTTGTGTTTGTTTGTTAATGTTGTCATAATGTTGTCAGGACAATCCCTTTAACCACATCGATGGCACTCAAACAGGAATGCAACTCCTCTGTTGAATGTAGACAGGGGTAGCTTTTCTACTTAAGATTGCCAAGTTTTTAGTCTTTCTCTGTGTAAAACAAAAGACGCAGAGGAGTTTTGCTTACTACCAAAATCCAGCACCATTGATATAACTGCATAAAAGCTATTGGGTATCCCAGGGGGTGCTGTTAGGAACACAAAATACCAGGTTGGCACACATGCATAACAAACATAACAAGTGTCTGCTTTGTACAGAGGGTAGGTACTGGAGGCTTTACCCACTGCTGAGGGTCATACAGTGAGTTAAAAAGAATTTTATGCCAGTGAAGGTTTGAGAATTCGAGATAAGAAGAATGCATTGCTTGCAATGAGCTATCACTGCTCATCTTTATCTGCCCAGTGTGTGTCCACAGCTGACTTATATCTCTCTCCTCTATAGGACTTTGGGAATGTAGAGGGCCCCTCACCTGAGATTCTATCACGGATGCTTTTGAATGATAAATGTCAACAGCTCCCCTGACTTCAGGAAATGAGGCTCCCCCAAACCCTTCCGCTCACCCTTCTCTTCCTGAGCTGCCTGGAAGGCACCACCGGCAGGAAAATCAAAGAGAGCAGCGAAAAAGTGAAGCCCGCTTCCTCGCCATGGGCACAGTCTGGACAGTTCTCCACCCGTGACAAACACCTGTGCAGTTGGCAGGTGATCTCTGGCGAAGAAGCCACCGAACTCCTGCTCAGCTGCCACCAGCCTGGAGAGGAGGGTGGGAAGAGGCAGCAATGTGTCTACCGGGGCCAGCCAGAGCTATGTGCTGCCTACAGCTCCAAAGGTCGCCAGTTCTGGAAGCAGATCCTGGGCAAACTCCGCAAGAAGCAGCACCCATGCCAGGACGGCAGCCCACTCAAATCCCGGCTTTGCAGTAGCAAGAAGGGGACTTCTGAAGCGCAGCTACACCTGGTGCCCACCGCTCCCGGCACTGACGCCCCGGGGGCCACTGAGGGGACTGCTAAAGGTAGATCCAAGGGGAAAGGCCGTGCCAAGGATGCGCCAGCCCCGCAGAAGCCACCTCAGGCACCCAGGAATAGGGCAATCAGCAGCCCAGCCAAGGCGGAGGCCCCAGCCAAGCGAAACAAAGAGGGGAAGAGGAAAGAAGGCCCCGGCTCCTCAGCGGCCCCAACCCAGCCCTCCAGCATGCAACCTACATTGGTCGCAGGAGGCACGGAGCAGCCCACAGAGCTCAATGCAGGCGTGGTCGAGGCCTACTGCGAAGAGAAGTGGCATTCGCTATGTAACTTCTTTGTGAATTTCTGGAACGGCTGAACCTGGAGAATTGGGAGAAGGGTGGGCACGGGGTGGGGGGGAGGGTTAAAGGCAAGGGGGGTTAAAGGCAGAGTGTACAGCAGACAGCCTAGGTAGAGATAGTGTTGGAAGGAATAAAGGCAAATGTGGTGGTTTGGTTCAAGGGCAAAATGGAGGCAGGGGTGAATAGAGTCAAGTGGGATGGGAGTTTTTGAGCGCCAACAGAGCGTGGGTGAAGATTTGGGGCAGTGAGGAAGGGGAGGCAGGATGCGGCGGTTGTGCTTTTATGGGATGTATAACTTACTCATTCCTACTAATCCTGCAGCAGCTGCTAACAAAGTGGCCGAGGGTGTGCACTAGAAAAAGGTAGGTTAAGATGAAAGACATATTGTTTCTTCCATGCTAGATGTGCTCCAGCTGTTAAGTAAACTGTCCTGTTGCATCAGGCTGTTTATTCCCTACCCACAATCAAGTAGCTAATTCTCAGCTAATAAAAGATATTTGGGTTTGCCATGTCTAAAAAATAATCGCAAGGTTCTTTCTCTAACACAATGGATGCTACTGGGCGTAATTACATTAATGATAATAATAAATGAAATTATTTTACAGCAACCTGTGCTTGTTATTTCATTACACAGTGTCAAAATCTCTGCTATCAGTATCAATGCTATCACATTTTACAAACTTTTATTTAACGATATGTATTTTTAAAATGTGTTTGTATCCCTCCAAAGCAGTTTCCTGGGGAAACTGTGTATTGTGTGTGTGCGTGCGCGCGCGCACACACACACACACACACACACACACACACACACCAGTTTTAAATTCACTGTTCTAGCCTTCCATCTTAATGAATCTAGCCATTGATGCAGAGTGACTTGGTTGAATTTATGTACCACCCTATTGTCAAATGCTTGAAATTGCTAAGAGCCAGTATTTATGGGCCAATAGAAGGGTCACCATAATAAGCTATTGCTTTCTGCGTTCCACCTCCCTTGCACTGTGGAGCCTCTGAGAAGAAGAAGAAGAAGAAGAAGAAGAAGAAGAGTTTGGATTTGATATCCCCCCTTTCACTCCCTTTAAGGAGTCTCAAAGCGGCTAACATTCTCATTTCCCTTCCTCCCCCACAACAAACACTCTGTGAGGTGAGCGGGGCTGAGAGACTTCAGAGAAGTGTGACTGGCCCAAGGTCACCCAGCAGCTGCATGTGGAGGAGCGGAGACACGAACCTGGTTCCCCAGATTACATGACTACCGCTCTTAACCACTACACCATACTGAAGTACTGAAGGAGACCTTCGTTCTGTTAGGGAGGGTGTGTTTTTTCTCCCACTCTCAGTCAGATTCTTCTTCTTCCACAATATAATTGGTCAAAATGTTCTTGACGCACATAGTTTGTATCACAGTTGCTGGGATTTATACTTAGAGCCATGGCAGCAATTTTATCAACAGACTGTTCTAACTTTTATCAGAGCTCTTGCTACTTCACATAGCCCATTTCACACTGGTTACATAGAGCACAATAGTTTTGCTTATCATACTATATATATATATATATATATAGGACATAGTTCCCGCAGTCTATCCAAAGAATGTCACTTTCTCTCAAGGGAAGCCTAGCGATTACATTTTAAACCTTGCCTTTAAAAAGCTTCTCTCCAGTGGCAAATTCCAAGAGAGATCAAGCTCTCAGAATTTGCTTTCAATATTACGGTTTAGGACTGTTCTGTACATGCAGCTGTAGAACATGGTCAACTTTCCCTGAGACTACAGCACTGAACATTGCAAGCTGGGAGCTACCTAAAAACTTGCCCTGTTTTGATTGGGAGAATGGTGCTTGCATTTATACATATGTGCCAATTTTTCCTTTTCACTTAAGCAGATGCTGAAAAAGAAATACGAGGATGATAAATGGGAAGAGGTATTGCTTTCTATAGTAAAAGAACAATTGGGAAAATCTTGGAGGGTAAGAATGTTGATCTTTGTTCTAAAAGCCTTGAAGGGAGACTTATATTTGCCTTCTTCTACCTGAGGAATTTTAAGGAAAAAACATCTAAGGAGCTTATGTTCCAATGAGAGACAAACACATAAAATAAAGAAAGAATAGCAATAATGAAAGAATAAGGTAATCAGAGAGGTGGTTTTTTTTAATGAGCTTGACATAACAAATAATGTTATCTTGGCAGTTTCCACAACATATAAAAGTAGGGGCCCCTTGAGACAAGAAGGGTCCAACTTCACAATCAGGTGATCAGTTTTGATTTTTCAGAAGTGATACAGAAGTGGATAGCATCCGAGCTTGGATAATATGCCATAAGCCAGAGGTAGAGGTTTTCAACCTTTTTGAGTCCTTGACCAACTACATTCTTTCTGCAGCACCTCTGTGGGGATCAGAAGCCCAGTTATGTCACCCCTTGCCTGCAGAGCTGGTAGCTCCTCACCCCTCCCTTTGTGGAGGCTCTCCTCAGCCTCCTCTCTTCTCCCCTCTCCTTGAGAGTCCTCTGGGCAGCTGCAGCTGCCGCCTCTGGTCTCTGAGCTGCCACCCCCACCCCAAAGAGAGGTGCCTCCTCCCACTGCCCCACAGGGGCCTGGGAAGCACCCCCTGGCCAGCCCCAGAGGCACCATTCACCTGGGGAGCTTGTAGGCAGGGATGCTGCAACAAACAGCTGTGCAAGCCTTTCAGAGGCAGAGATGTGAGAGGGCATCAGAGGAAGGGAGGGAAGGAAAGAGGGGTAGAGGCCAGTGTTGCCCGCAGCACCCCTGACCATTGTTCAAGGCACTCCAGGGTGCCACGGCACAGTGTTTGAAAACCACTGCCCTAAGCATTTCACCTAGCACGTTGTATTTCATGGAAAGTAACACGTTCCAGTACTGCGGAGATACTTGTGCCTGTACAGGATCTTAAATGCTGAAGAATGAAGACGCTTGGGGGCTTCTGTGGAACAGAAACTATTCCAGCTTCACAGTACTACCACCACATGGGTAGACAGGCTGTACCCATGTGGGCACCCAGAAAAAAGCTCGAAATAGCTAAAAGTTTAGAAACTATCATAAGGAAGCAGCCCAGGCATGTATAAAGCTATGCAAATGACTGCAGGAAGCTGTTGCTAGGTAACCTGGGCCTCCACATGAATAGTGAAGGATAACTAGGGCCTGTTTGCAGTTTGACGGTTGCAAACCCCAGAGATAGCTGGTCACGTGACACTGTTTAGCAGCACCCCCCTCCCCAAATCTTTGATCTATTTGTTCTTTTGTTCTTGGGAGCAAGAAGCACAATGGGAATGATTGGGCCCAAGGCCCCACACTGGGTGCTGCTGAGGCACCAAAATGTTTGAATCAGAAAAGAGGATGGTGAAGAAGTTGCTGGTGCAGCAGTGGAGAGAGAGAGAGAGAGAGAGAGAGAGAGAGAGAGAGAGAGATGCGCATGGAAGAAGAAGCTTTTTTCACCTAAGGGAATTTATAGCTCTCCTTTAAGTTCCCTTCAGGCTTTTAAACACCTCAACATTTTTCATCTTCTCCACCTCATAAGGCTGACCTTTAGTAAATACTGTTTCAGGAGCTCTGACATGAAATGAGTTTACATGAAATTAAGTGCCATTGTTTCCCCTGCCCCAGCAATGTAGATATTCTTACTTTTGTTTACTCTTACCCGTTTACTCTTGACCTCAGGGTTGCGGGTTCGAGCCCTATGGCGAACCAAGGATTCCTGCATAGCAGTGGGTTGCACTAGATGACCCTTGTGGTCCCTTCCAGCTGTACAATTCCTTGATTCGATGATTTGATACACACGCTAGAGATGTGCTCGGCCATTTGTCTGAATATGGAAACACCATCATGGGTGGGGGAACAGGGACACACACACACACACCCCTACTGCTTTCAACATCCCTCTGTGCATCACATCTCACATTCAGCAAGGGGGTTGTGTTTGCTTGACCTGCATGGTATGTCGGGAAGGTCTACAAGGGTAGAAACCAACCCCCTCAACCTTCCCTGAACAGCACAACAAAGTATTGGGACTACGATAAATGTGAAGATTTCTGGAGTGGGGCTTGTGTGAGTGCCCTTGCTCCCGTTAAGTCTTATTTCAGGATGCACCACAACTTTATGACATCACATTTTCTCTCTCCTTTGTCAAGCAACAGGTGACACCACTGCATGTTCCTCTATCTGCTAGAATACAGAGAAAGTTGCAAAGTTCATGGTTTCCCTTACATGGTTTCCCGTACTAAAAGCTCCTGCACAAAAGAAGAGGATGGTGAGACATGAGACTGTGGTTTTTTGCAGAAGTCGCGCAACCAAATATAACATGCTTGGACCAAAGATATAACTCAGACTCACTATGGAAGCTGTTTAGATGAAAGAAACATTTTGAAAACTTGCCTTTAGTTATGTAGTGAAGAACATTAGTTAATAGCTTAAGTATGCTTGATTACCGGAGTTAATTGAAACTGGTTGGGAAGTGATTCTTTTTTTCTTTTTTTTACAAGCATATTAAATGACCTGTGATTTTGGAGAAAGATGCGACAAAATCCAACCAACCCTTCAAAAGAAAAAGAGCTTGACATTTGACCACTGATGTATTTTCTTTCTCACTCTTGTAGTAAATAAATTTGATCTGAAGTGCAATAGTCCAAATTCATTTATACCAGTCTGACACAGATGGTACCTGCCTGGGCAAAATTGTAAAAAAGTGGATCTCGTTCATTTCATATTTGAAAAGAAACTTTAACTATAATGTTCATGCATATAATTTATTTAAATAATCATTTGCATAGTTATATTACAGTACAAAGAAAACTAAATTAAAATTATATATTGGGTTTTTTCCAAAAACAAAAACAAAACCCAAGCCCTGATACAAAAGCAGACTAGAAAGTTGAATTTTTTAATGTACAAGAGATTGCTTCTCATTTAACTTTGCTCTCTATTGCTCTACGGCTGCTTTTCTGAAACACAGAACAGCGGGTGAGGTGGGGGGAGTATAAAACAATAGGCATTTCCATGGCAGGCTTTCCTTACTAAAACAAGTTACTTCATTCATTTTGGATTTCTAAGGATTTTATGTTTAAACACCACCAAGGCTTTTCAGCTGGAAATGCTAGAGGCTGGAGCTAATTCTCTTGCCCCCCACAAACGTTTCATTATTGAAAAGAATCTCCAAAGCAAGATCCTGTATAAAATATTAAACAGCTTTGGAAATAATTTGGCGCCTTAGAGCTTAGCCATTCCCCACCCACCCACCCCACTCTACGTGCCTTACTTGGTGAAAACACAGCACTGTACATCCCAAGCTACCCTCACTTCAGGGCCAATGTTTCGTTTGTATTGCTGTCAAGTGTTCACAAGGTTAATTATGCCTGTACCTTTGGGGGGAAGAGGGAAAGAGGGGCAGGAGAGAGAAGGCTGGGCCACCCTTAACTCAGCCCACTTTCCTGAATAGAGGAAGTGGCGTGATGGGGATGGCGTGATTTTACTCATCAAGAGCCAGCCTTCCCACAGAACAAGACCCTCCCCTCCTGGAATGTACCAAGGCCCTTGTTACAGGCACATTACATTCCACTTCACTCACATACAGTTTTCAATGCGACAAAGGCCATGAGAATTTCCCAGGGCTGCAAAAAAACTCTAAGGGGAAAGGACAAATGCCACGTCAACCGCAATAGCTGCGTAGTACCTAGAAGGGAATATTATTCATGTCAATGCTCTCTATTCAGCAACATTTCTCGCTGTACGTTCTGTACTGGGGTATGCGGTCATGAGCACAAGATATATAGATGTCTTGCAGGAGTTGCAAAGCAGGCACATCCATGTAGCTTAAAGCTTTTCTGAATGAAAAAGCTGGATAGCTCAGTTGGTTAGATCGTAGTGCTGGGAACACCAAGGTTACAGGTTTGAGCCCCATATTGGACAGCTGCAAGGGGTTGGACTAGATGACCCTCAGGATCCCTTCCAACTATGATTCTATGAAATACATGGAATCAGAAATCAGGAAAAGACTGGCTTATTATAGCAATCACCAAAGAGATGCAGTATATATGGCATTAGTACTTAAATGAATACTCCTGCCCATTGTTATTATGGTTATGATTATGAGTCGGGCTTTCCCTTTGTCTTTTCACATGTTCCCCAAATCTGCTCCAAGGGGTCCCTCTACTCTTGAAGGTGTGGAGGAGGCTGCAGGAGAGACAAAGGGGAAGTTTCACTGTGGTAGTGGCAGCCTGTTGCTTGAGCAGAACAGCACCACTGGATAGAGTTGTTTTTAAATTATTATTATTATTATTATTATTATTAATTATGTAATAGCAAATAAAAGCCCTTTCATAATAGTGAATAAAATTGCTGCTCAGATTATACTGGTAGGAAAGAATTAACAAGAATAAGCAAGAAGGTCACAGAGGAATATTGCTTCATGCTCATAGGCACAAAGATGTCAGAGATTTAGAAGTGAGCCATTGCCTCTGTCCAAGGACGAATGATGTAAAAATTATCTGCCTGCCTCTGCCCAGAGAGCAAAGGCCTCCCGACACCTCGGGCTGAGGGTTAACAGCTCTTTCAGATTCTGTTGTCTAATGTACCTTGACATGAAATCGTAGCTTGCAATTCATCACCCTTTTAACAGGAAAGGCAAGACCACAAGCAACTTTGAGGAGAGGGCGGGTGGGGCGGAGGGAGGGTTTCCTTTATCCCAAGGCAAGTTGTGTTTTCATTGGATCTGAGACCACATAGCGGGAGCATATTCCCCCCCCCCGCCTATGTGGTTCTCCTATTCTTTCGCAGCTATCCGCTGATATTTAGGCAAACTGAAGGACCTATTGAAGATAAGGCATGATGTCATGCCACCCAGAGAGGGACCAATAAGGACCCTGCTTTGGACCATAACAAAGACTGCTGTGCCTATTGACAGCAATTCCGCAGGCTCTAGTGTTTGAAACAGCAACTCCCAAAGGAAATTCAGGCAATTCATGTATCTCCAGCTAGAGATGTAACCAACTCCAGGCTGAAGCCCTGGAGAGAGGCTACCAGTCAGTGTAGACAATACTGAGCTAGATGGACCGGTAATTTGACTCTGTGAAAGGCAGGTTCCTATGTGCTACCAGGCATGGGTGTTGTGGTTAAAGAAGGACATGATACAGCTGCACACTGCTCTTTAATGAAGCCAAAATGCAGACAGAGAGTGATGGTGAAAATGTCTGCTAAAGCCAAGGTCACATGTAGGAGGGCAGAGAAGGCGTGGCATGGCACACTAGAACCGATGCAAAATTAGGACCAAAAGCAGGAAACGTGAGAGATCAAAGTTCCCAGCTGTTAATTCATTATCCCATCCTTCCTCCATGTTCATGTTCAGTGCTGTGTGGAGTTCGGCATCATCTCATTTTAACCTCACTACAGCCGCCCCGTTCCTAGTATGTGACTTGCCCACACATTCTGAGCTGGTGAACTTAATGTTTCAGCAGGCATTCAGACTCAAGTCTTTCTAATCCAAGTGTAACAGCCTATATATTCTACACTACAGCTAGAGGCCCCAACAGTGGTGTATAGTGGTTAGAGTGCCGGACTAGGACCTGGGAGATTAGGTTCAAATTCCCTCTCAACCATGAAGCTCACTGGGTGACCATGAGCCAGTCACTAACCTCTCAGCCTAACCTACCTCATAGGATTGTTGGGGCGATTAAATGAGCAGTGGGAAGAACCATGTATGTTACCTTGAGCTCATTGGAGAAAAAAGGTGGGATATAGACATAATACATAAATATAAAAACAACAACAACAACAACAACGGCAACAAAACACATAGGGCCCTGCCTGCAGTTACATTATAAGAAGTGAAGCGCCGTGAAGGTTCAGACTTCCTGAAACAGACCGATTTATCTTTGACCTGGAAGGTGTTTTTTATGTTAACCCCCCCTAGCTGCCTATGAATTGGGTTAAATGTTGCTCCATGTGCTTAGAAAACACGTTAGCTTAAACCAGAGATCGAAACAGCTGTGCCCCCCCCCGCCCTGATCTTGTTGGACTCCAATTCCCATGAGCCCCAGCCAGCATGCATGGTCAGGGGTATGGGAGTTGTAGTCCAACAACATAAGACACACAGGTTCTTCATCTCCTGGTTGATACATTCCAGTGTTCAGTGCCATCAATGAAAAGAGTTATTGGGGGGCCTGGGCGGAGGTTCAAATTAATTATACCAGAGGGGAAATTGAAAGAGACACAAACTTGGTATGACCCAGAAGAAAACACGGTGTTTTTTATTAGAAGTGGGCCTGGGGATTTATTTATTTTTTAAAGCAAGATTTTATAATATTATTTACCATTTGTACAGCACTTTCCCTGGGTGTTCAGAGCGGCTCACTTCATAGCACTGACTAGTCTCTCAGGCCCTTGCAACAGCAATGACAATCAATCATGTATGTAGGAGGAGCATTATGGACCCTCTATTAACAAGCATGTGGTAACATGAAATGGGGCTTTGAAACTGGAATACTTCTGTGAAAATGTAGGGCTTCTTCATTTTTAATTCAGCAGTTAAACGAAGATCGGCAGGCTCAAAAAAAACAAAAACCCACGCTCCTGACTGGAACTCGAAGGTGGCCTCTCCGTTATTTACTATCTTGGTAGGCAACAAAAGGATGTGAGAGGAGCTGCTGTGAGGAGGGAGTGGGCGAATGGGTGAAGAGGCAGGGAAGTGAGGCTGGGAAGCGTATTAAAATGAGCCAGGAAGACAATGCTAATGTGCTAAGTCAGAGCAATATGCAAATATATGCCGTGCCCTAGAAAGTCTAATCCCATCAAGAATGCCCAGGACTTTAATTTGCCCATCTTTTACAACTCATAAATCTATCCTCCTCCCAAAGCCAGCCTGCCAAATGCCACGAGGAGGGGGCTGCTTTCAGGCTGGCAACTTCAGCGTAGCTGCCTGTATCACGCCTCAGTAAAGACTCATAAAGAGCTTTGTGTGGGGAGGACTTGGGAGCAGCTTCTCACATTTTGCCTCAATAGAGCCAAACAGTGGGAAACGTGAATGACAGATTGTCAGAACTGGTGGTCTCTCTTGTGCTGGCTTTGGCATCCTGGGCTACGGGCTTCTTGTTTTGCCGCCAGAGTTGTTGGGTTTTTCTGACAAGAATACTTTGACCTTTGGTATATATACCTGTGGGTGGAAAACTTACATGCAGTTAAAAGACCCGAGTTTTCAAAAGTTCATGTTAACTGTTAAATTGAAAGCTGCTTGGTTTTCTAAGGTTGCAAATGCAAGTGTTTCGCACCAGCATTAACTGTTTTTAAAGCAAACAGGTGACAAAGAGCAGCCATGTTTTTTCTGAAATTAACTTGCTGTTAAATGAGTCTATGAGGTATATAGCAGACCTCTGGAAGAACAGGCTAATTTCACATTATCCTTCATGTCATGATGGGGTGCTTATTCTGCTTGAACAGCGATAAGCGTTATTTGTTCTGTCATATCATAATCAAATTTTATTTGCCCTTTACAATGAGGCAGCTACCATAAGGTTATAACAATAAAACACGCAATTATAAAACAAATGACACAAGTTACAGCCATAAAGCAAAATGTAAAAGCAATTAAAAGCAGTTTCGTATACAAAACATTTAAAAACTATTCGAGATATTTAAAAAAATAAAAATATGAAACACCACACCCATTTATCCTGATTGGGGACGTATATTAATGAATGCAGACATCACCATAATTTATTATTTCTACCTCGCCCATCTGGCTGGGTTTCCCCGGCCACTCTGGGCGGCTTTCAACAAAACATTAAAAACTTCCCTAAACATACATTATTATACTTTGTTTCAAGCGGGGATAAGAGTGCAGGTGTCAGAACCAGCTCTACCATTAGGCAGTGAGAGGCCACTACCTCAGGCAGCACGTTTGAAACAAATTTCAACGACCAGTCTGGTTGGCTTTTGTAGTTAGAAGTGGGGAGGCGCCATCTTCTTTTTTACCTCAGGTAGCAACATGTTTTGGGTTAGCTTCATAGGGAAAGTGGGTTTTGACGAAGGGATTTATGGAAGAAAGTGACAGCCCCACCTGAGCTTTTCTGGAAGAGGGTTCCAAAAAGAAGAGGCCAAGAAGGGTAGCAGGATAGATGAAACTGAATGGTGAACTTACCTCAAAATACTATGGATGTTAAAGCTGGGCCATTGTGTCACGTGATAGCATGGGAACTACAGCAGCACTGCTCTTTCTGGTGCCACGGGCAGGGCCGGAATTAGGTTTGACGAGGCCCTAAGCTACTGAAGGTAATGGGGCCATATATATGTCCAGCTGTCCTTTGTCAACAACACATTGTCGCTGTTTTTTGTGTTGAATATATGCTGTATTGTAATTTATGGACCTAATAGGTATCTAAAGCCATTTGCACATGCTGCCATGCAACCAGTCCATGCAGGATGTAGGCACCCTATATACAGAAATGAGCAAACCAGTGATATTTTAGGGAGCAGGCTAGCAGGTAGGTCCCATTACAGTGGTACCTCGGGTTAAGAATTTAATTCGTTCCAGAGGTCCGTTCTTAACCTGAAACTGTTCTTAACCTGAAGCACCACTTTAGTTAATGGGGCCTCCCGCTGCCACCGCGCCGCCAGAGCACAATTTCTGTTCTTATCCTGAAGCAAAGTTCTTAACCTGAAGCACTATTTCTGGGTTAGCGGAGTCTGTAACCTGAAGCGTATGTAACCTGAGGTACCACTGTACTTACATCATAGGAGCCTGCACAACACAAAACACTGCTGCTATATGTAGGTTTTATTTGTTTATCTTAGATTTTGGAAATGTACATCCAGGTTTTTTCCTTTAAATGTTTTTGGGGCCCCCAACAGAGTGTGGCCCTAAGCTTTAGCTTGTTTAGCTTATACATAAATCCGGCACTGGCCGTGGGGTTAGCATGAGATGCTCTGTGCAAATGCAAGAGCAGATCAGGTGAAACTGTGACTGGGAGCAGGGAAGTCACATCAAGGTCTCACCCTGTGGACACGGGGAAGATCAGCCTTGCTGCAGCTCCCACGTTACTTGGAAAACATGAGTACCCAAAGCCTAACTGACCATTTCCGGTAAACATGGCTGTTCTAGATTCCTTGCCCCTTCTGTTCTCCCAAACAAGATGCATCTTTCCTCTTTTGTCTGAGATAAGGTACGCCCTACAAATACAACTACACAGTAAGTAGCAGAGCTCCAGTTAGTCATTAAGAATCCAGTGTGTAGTTAACTTATAATAAATACAGTGGTACCTCGGGTTACATACGCTTCAGGTTACATACGCTTCAGGTTACAGACTCCGCTAACCCAGAAATAGCTCAGGTTAAGAACTTTGCTTCAGGATGAGAACAGAAATCGTGCTCTGGCAGTGTGGCAGCAGCAGGAGTCCCCATTAGCTAAAGTGGTGCTTCAGGTTAAGAACAGTTTCAGGTTAAGAACAGACCTCCGGAATGAATTAAGTACTTAACCTGAGGTACCACTGTACAGTGGTCTATTCAGAAGTTAGTCTCCTTGTATTTAATGGGGTTGAGTCCCATATGGGCAGCCCACTAAGTTATTTTATAAAAGATGGGTTTTTAATCTACAATAATTTTACTGTTATTAATTTTAAAAAATCTTTAGCGTTTAAAAATCTTGTTATGTATCTCAGTTCTGCTGCTTGGGCAGAACACTGTAAAGTGGGATGTTTTCTTTCTTTTTACTGGAGAATTAGGAGAAATGCTGACTCCTTCCTATTTTATCTATTAAAGGAGTACAGTAAAAATAAAAGGACATAATTCTGCTTTCTATAGTTCCTTCAGTGACTACAGACCTAAGACAACTCTTATCAGGAGTCAATCCCTGACACATTTGAATGTTCGGATCTAGTGCCCCCTAGTGCAAAAATAGAAAACACAAAAAGCTGTACTTTTAGGAAGTGCTGGGCGTAAAATATCTGTAACAATTACGTTTCTCCTGTGTGCGTGTCAGCTTTCTGAAGAAGTGAAATTATCCAGAACCAAGTGTTTCCAGGAATGCTATGAAAGCAGCTACTGTGCAAGCACTATTACAAATCACTTTTTGAGAGAATTGTCAAGCAAAAGTACAGGGAGTGTGGCAGCACTGCAACAATGCTAACCACTTATTAGAACGTTGGGATGATGTTATAGCTGAACTAATGTAAAACTTCCCTAAGTGTCTGAGGCTACTTTACATAGGTGAGCACAGAGAGCCAAGCAAGCTCACCCACACCATCAAGGATATGGAAGCGTGAAGGGGGTTAATTACAATAATCACAAGATTTAGTGTCGTTTGGCTAAAATGAGTAACTTCTGAATAGAAATGTCCTTTTGTGTGACTGTGCCTATCCTACATAGCTGCCTTTGTGGTCCAAAGAGCAACTCAAAGATTGGGGAAACATGATTATTCCTTTGTATAGCCAACTTTAGGGGGAGGTCACTTTAAATCTCATTCTGTACAGGGAATCCTGCTACTTGAAGAACAAGGACTTCCAAAACAACTACTTCATTTGCTCCTGACAGTCCTGTCAGAATTAATTTGGTTTCCCCTCTTCTTCTGCAGAAATATGGGGAGTAGGGCCAGGCCACAGCAATGCAGCCTTCAAGCAAGATAACAGGGAGTGAGTAATTATAATTTGCAAGTGAACCTAACTCCAGAGTTTGGGGGGGAGGGGAATGTCTGCTGTTGGTGGGTCGCTGCCCTTTTTGCCATGCTTAATTGTAATGATGCAACCATACCAAAAAGTTTGTGAATGAAGTTTATTTGGGGCTGAATGGAATGGAATGTCGTACAATACAGGTAAGACACTTCAAGATGAGTAAAGCACTAATTGCACAGGAGGCTGGAATTTCACCTCAAGTCAACACAAGCAAAACCATTACTTCAGAAAAAGCAAGGTATGTCATGCAAAATTAAAAACAAAAAACCATTCTAACCAATCTTGTGGTACCATTTAAAATGCTACCCATACCACAATAATTTACATCACATTAAATAATCATTCACAAAGAATGAAGTATTTTCAGCAATGAAATGAATTATCTCAGTGCTTAAATGATAGTTAGCAGATTTTGCATGAACACTCGATCCAGCATTTAATTAAGCTAGCGAGTGGAAAACATGCAGTGATATAGTACCATACAAATCAAGACCCCTTTATATTTTTGTGTTGCTTGCAGGAGCAATCACATAAAAGTGATATTTACTATATTTCCCACATGATTTTATAACTATCCATGCACTGACTTCATGTGCAATGCAATTGTTTAGGACTCAAGTCTCAAGTCCCCATATGAATCAGACAGCCCAAGCAGTCTTGGCAATCTCTCTTAAACCCTAATGTGATAATGATCCACAATTAAATTACATTATGGGTCACAATGTTGAAGAATTCCCATTGAAATGCTTAATTAAAGAAGTGGACAAATGAAACGTGGGATTATTTACATTTACGTAAGAGACTCTGAAACAAATGGGTAATCCTAGATGGAACTGAAATAAGGAAAACAGATGTTAGGAGAGGGTGTGAAAAAAGTTGACAGTGCCTTGAGGAGGTGTGAGTACTTCCTTTTCTGCCTTTTTGCCTCCAGTGACTTTCATGGGGAAACCCAGCTACCGTCTACGATGAGCAGAACATGTCTTACAGGAAGTTGGTTAGCTAAACTGTAGACAGCAGACTTCACTCATGGAGTCCTACATACAAAAAGAAATTTGATCTCATTGCATCTCTACACTTAGCTTTGTACTGCTGGAGGTATAGATATAGATTGGCTCATTACAAAATATATTGCCTTGGAATGAAATGGGTGCCCAAAGGTTTAACTGCACCATGTGTATAAAGTTTATTTACCTCCTCCAATATACACCCTGTGGAGGATCTGTTGAGGAATTGGAATGTTCTGTGTCTCAGGAATGTATATGACTTAATGACTGCTGGGGCATTTCCTCCACTAAACTCTGCTTACTTAGCTAAAATCATGTGTATGTTTCTATTTGATTGGCAAATTACATGGGGTTCCCAAATCTCATGGATAGTGAAATGCAGATGAGTAATGCAACATTTGGGTGGGGGAATATTTGCATATGTTGTGGCTGTGAAATACTTTATATTACAAAACCAATGTAAATAAATACCAGGCTAGTAGAAAAGCTCTTATTTACAGGTTTTACAAATACAATTTTACTCAGTGTAAATGTAGTGTTTTAAAGAACACAGTATTAGTAAAATGAGTTCCTATATAGCAATACAATTTGTTAAGATTTCACTGTAACAGCATATAGAAAACAAAGTTCAAGTTAATGTTTTATAATTTAGTACAGACAAACCCAGTATCACCTGGAATGAGATCTGTTAAAGTGCTGAAAAAAGGAAGTTTCTGAAATTTTAGAAAACTTACTATATATTTATTAAAGCTTTACTACGTCAAAATGTTAGATTTTATTCACATTTTCTACCACAATGCTGTGGGGGGTAGGATACATTTTTTCAGCAATTCAGTGTACTCTTCATTTTGATCTCTGCAAAACATCTGGGGTTTCAAGCTTCTGTGGCAGTTTCAGGTTTCATAATCTGGTACGTAATCAAATATTCTGGATAGGCCTGAAATATGAAATTATGTTTATTATTCTCTGTCATCTGTAAACATGTTATGGGAATAATGCATGTGATGAAAAATAACTGCTTATAGTAAGGACAAAATAGCTAAAAGTTCCATGCACTTCTGAGCAAGTGAAGAACTCTCACGGCTTCAGGCTGCAATCTATGTGCTTACTTGGGAGTTAGCCCCACTGAAATCAATGGAACCCACTGCGGAGTAGACATGTGCAGGATTTTGTTGTAAAAAGCTATTTCTATTATTAAACAAACTGGAAGGCGAGATATAAAAATCCAAGATGCCTATGAATACCAACCTTCAAATTTAAGGAAAACCGTGTTTAGAAAGTGAAACTAAAAATACACTACCTGCTCTCCTCTGTAAATGACATATTCTGCTAAAGCTAGTCCATTTACACTAGGCCGCCCAGTAACTGAATGGTGTCCTGGAGGAGAATGAGCCATTTTCATTGCACTGAACTGTAGAAAAGACTTGCCCAATGTAACACGACAAAACAGCAACTGCCTATATTAAAGAAAACAAACCGTTTACTTATAAATGTGCAAAGGCAAAAATAAACAAGCAATACCATTTCTTAATATGTAAATAAGGTTTACAAAAAGCATTACTTTTACTTGAGTATTATCCATATCCTCTTAATATTGAGTGTGATCCAAGAACACCAAGACACCTATTTTTGTTCTCCACACTGTTCTCTCAGAAATTCTTATCACATAACAAAAATGTGTTAAAGCACATGATTAAAGAACACTATGTAGCTTAAAGGATATTGCCTTAGCTTTTCACAGAATTGTAGAGTTGGAAGGGACCATGAGGGTCTCCTAGTCCAACCTCCTGTGATGAAGGAATATTTTTGCCCAACGTGTGTCTTGAACCCACGAACCTGAGATTAAGAGTCTCATGAATGAAAAGGCAACAAACTGCTAACGATCTGGCCAGGACTCCAACACAGATAAAACTTAAAAAGGGAATGCTTGCTAATATAAAGCTCACAATTTAAGGGCTCACTACAATCCATAAAACCATAAATGGGTGGCTAAAAATTCAGACATGATATTCCAGCTACAATTTGGACAGGTGTGAGAAAAGTCGGTATCTTTACCCTTACCCCACATAGGTAGCAGGCCACTTTCTCCCTGACAATCCAACACTGAACCAGGCATATTTTAAGTCTATTTTTTCCAGTGAACTTAAACTAATTTTAACTTTTACAGATTCTGACCAAAATTGGATAATTAAAAGATCACCTATCCAATGTAGAGAAATTAACGTTCTTATGCGGAAGCAGACATACAAGATTTTAATAGTCAATACTACTTTTTCCTCATCTGGCAAACATTACTTGGTTGCAAGTAACATAATATGCTCCCATTTTTGGGGTTGATAGCTGTGCTGATAGAGACACTAGGGACAAACAAGACAGAAACCTTCTACCTTGATTTTATAGATGTAAATGATGGATTGGATCCTGAGTCTGCACAGGCAGAAGCAACTCAAACAACAGGACTAACCCTCCCTTCTCAGACCCACTGTAACTCTGTATCCTCTCTCCTGAGAGATGTGTCAGAAAAGTAACATATATATTCTCTAAATAAGCAATGATGAGTCTTCTACAAATTTTAGTACAATACATATAGTTCTGTTAGGTTGTTTATTTTATTGCCCGCCCTTCAGCACAAGGTTCCAGAGTGGGCTACAACAACGTAATCACAAAGATTACAAACCAGGTCAAACAACTTTTACTGCAACTTACCTATGGCAGACATAACAAGATCTGTCTTTGTGAATTGGGCAACCAGTGCCACCACCAATACCATACACATACTGGTTGCTTTTGGAGGAATTTTCAGCAAAATAAATTCCTGCTCCAAACATTCCGCCTATGTATGCATGCCTCTCGTCAAAACCTTTATGAATAATTGCATTCACAAAAGGGGAGCCTGTGAGTACATTATAATAAAAAGTGTTAGTCTTTATTACAGTCATACCTCATGTTACATTTGCTTCAGGTTACGTCCCGCGGCAACCCGGAAGTACTGGAAAGGGTTAGTTCCGCGTTTCGCCACTCGCGCGTGCGCAGAAGCACAAAATGACGTCAGTGCATGCACAGAAGCGGTGAATATCAACCCGCAGACGCGCCGCTGCAGGTTGCGTTCTTTTCATGTTGTGAACAGGCCTCCGGAACGGATCCCGTTCGCAACCAGAGGTACCATTGTATATATGTTCTTAGCACTGAATATTCTACCATCTTGTAAATAATACTCATCACTATCCAGGGAAATACTGCAGGGACAGTTTTATTACAACAAAATCAGAAGCACTGTCCAACTGAATACATTAGGGGGAGGGGGAAGCAAAAAAAGGGGGGTGGGGATACAAAATCAGGAGTGCCTTGTTGTTGCTTGCACAAATTTTGGCACCAAGCCTGGTCCATAAATCCCATTAATAGTGTTGCCTTAATATCACAGGAGATGTTTGCTTTAGGCCTGCAAACACATCACCGCTGTGCTATCTGGGGATGGTTTGACTCTAAAGGAGGCATGACTGGCAACCAAAAATCCTGTTTCATGTAGGGATGCTGCAGTCAGGAGAAATGACCCTTGAGACTCACAAAGCAGATCTAGGATGCACTGATGTCTATCAGGCTGCAACTGTAAATTAACAGGATAGACAGGTGCCTGGCATAGTTGATGACTGGCATGCTCATTGTGACAACCATCTTTTGGGGATAAAGTCTCTTTGCCCAGTCTCTTTGCTCACAATAATGGGCCTTTCACAATTACACTTGCTGGAAAACTATATATCCCACCTGCCTCTCCTTATTGCTTTCTGTGTTGTTATACTGAGGGAGAATACTTGGGGTGTGTGGGTATATATAATAAACGCACAATTATTAAATACTGGCAAACAAAGACAACTAAAAAGAGCAGAATGAAAAGGCTAAAACAGCTGAGCATTAAAAACCAATATTTTTATGTTCACTCAGCTTTTTAGGCTTTTAATGCTCAATTGTAATGGAAATCTCAATGAAAAAAATCAATACAAATTGTTCTGTATAATATAATCCCAGATTTGAGAAGAGATTTAAGCACACAATGCCATTTTTAGAGGTTTTTCGGTTCTTCTCTTTTCCAGGCACTTAATGCTAACAGTATTGTACAAATACCAGTAAAATATTAACAATATGAAACTACATGGTAGCTACTGGTCAATAATATTTATGAGTTTTAGAAGACTTTAATGCTAAACATTATTTGGAGTTGAACTGCAGATCATTTCAAATTTCAGAATTAAAAAAAATCAGAACATTATCAATAGTAATGACTGGACATGAGAAAAAAATAATTTGAAATACCATGGAACAACATCCTTTCATTAGCATGATTATGATTCTCTTCAGAAACTTCTTTCCTCCTGTGAGTGTATCTTTCCCAGAGCTTTTTGTTACATACTTTTTGTATCTAAAAGGGCAGAAAATCCAGAATTCACAATTAGTTTTCTTCAGTTGTTTGAAGTATAAGCAACTTCCACAAATCTGCTTAGGAAAAGGAATTACAATTAAGAAATTCAACTTTCTTGATTTTGCCCTGAATACAGAGAATTATTTCTTTTCTCATCTCACTATAAATGCTAGTTAATAATGTCAAGATGCTTGCTTTATCATCTATCATATTGTTGTACAATATCATTATGCTCCTCTTGCACATATTCTAACTGAACTGTCACTATCTGTACTTTTTGTATTGAATTTTTCTCTAACCACACTTCCTTACGACCCCCATGTGTGTCTGCATATATGTATGTGTGTGTATGCAAGAAATGCATTTCAGGATTACACTTTATGCATTTGATGAAACAGGAATGTATCCAGAAAAGCAGTTCCATTAGTGTAAGGAGGGTGGGGTGGGGGGGAATCCCCAAGAACAGATTTAGGGATGTGTGTGGAGAGGGAAGAGAAGTTTCATTCACACCCAGAAGTCCTTGGGCTAACGTAAGTATTTCACTGGAAATCACCCACGGCCTCTAGACCATGACATCTTAGGCCATAATAACATTTATTAATGCCACAACTCACCTTAGTTTTCTTCCCACTGAAGTGTTTCTATTTCTTTAACAGCCTACTGACAGCATTGTCAATAAACTGAAAGTTGCACATTTGTTTCTAATTCATTACAAATCCAGTTTTTGTTTCCTTGGCACAGTATATATTTCAACTTTCCAGACTGCACAATTAATTCAAGGGTAAGAACTGATAGCACGAACAATGACTTCTTGGTGACAGACACACCAATTAGTTACCTTTAGGATGTTGTATCTGTTGAAAACCCCGCCAGCATGTCCACCATCTCTGTGCTCTCGAACAGTGCTCTGCATCTGAAGTGGAATAAACAAAGACTCTCTAACCATAACTTTTATTAGATTCCATTGTGCTGAATAAAAAATTGCTCGGTGTCTTTGAATGCAAGGCAACTGCAACTGAGCTATGCTCCCACAATGAATTTTATAATTATTTCCACAAACATAAGCAGAATTCAAATGGTAGGCTGCTTTAAAACTGGCTATATAGAATTTGCAGAGCCACTTGTGTGTTCTGGCTCACCACACTGAACCTCTAATCCCATCTTCACATGTCCTGATTTAAAGCAGGTATTCTGTCCCTCTTTGAGCCCAACCACAGCAAATACATGTCAGCACTATGTTAGTTCAGGGTATTTGGAAAAGTCACAAGAATTGCTTGGCCTATCTTATCTCAAGTGATACTATCTCCTCAGTTGGGGACAATGATTAATAACAAAATTAAAAGACATAACATGAGGATGAGCACCATGTGTTTAACACTGAATCAGCCAAGGCTGGGGAAAAAGGCTGAAAAATGAATTAAGTGTATTACATCTGATTACACAACAGTGAGGTTTTTTATATGGAATATGAATTGAAAGATATACCTCTTCTTCCACTGACTGAAACTCTTTATCATCAGGGGATAGGTCTATGAGGATTGTTCCACTACCTGAAGTATTCAAAGCTAGGTAGGGGTTAAGACCTATGAGAAAATGCAACAGGCAATATTTAGACACATACAGCTCAATTAAAAATATATAATAGATAAGGTTGTAGTTTTAGAACTTAAGAGTTGTATCTAACAAAGCTGTTCTTAGTGCAAGGACTTCTGGTTGCACAATTTAAACTTTCCCCTCTCTCTTCCCTCAACTTGCGCCTGAATCTGTCCTGGGTTTTTTCCCCAACAGTCTGGAACAGGTTTTTGGGGAGTCTGTGCAAATTCTGTTGTGCAAGTAAGAAGTCCTTGCGCTAATGGAACTATTGGATTCAAGCCACAGAATTCATATAATACATAATAATTTTTGCTTGCAAGGTTTCCTGGTTCCAATACTATAGAAAAATGAGCTTGCATATCACACACATGCTCTAAAACCCCCAAAAAACTTAGGGTGACACTGAGCGGTATTAAGCCCACATCTCCACATCAATATGTTCCCTTCCTCTTTTCCTCCACAACTTGCAACACAACCCTGAAAATTTCATCTGCATCATACCTTGTTGTCCTGAGATTAGTCTTTCAACTCCCTTAATTATTTTGTGTCTGTGCCCGTAAGCGTTAATACCAATTTCCTTTAATTCTTTGTGCCCCATTTCGACCAGTACATCTAATGTTATCTACAAAGAAAAGTAACATAAATGCAGTTTCACATTAAACTCAGATTACGGCACAGATCTTCAGCATGGAAAACTTCAAGTTGCTAAGAACTGAAGCTATTATGCGCGCACGCACACACACCCGCAATTGAAAATTTCTCATTTTACATTTACATCTACATCTTGCAACTTGTTTTCCTAACAATAAAGCTACGCACCTGCTCTCTCTCAAATACGTCAATTAGATGTTCAAGTCCAAGATTTCTCACAAATTGATTTATGCTAAAATCAACACCTGAAACTGTATAAGAAAAGCAGGCATTAGTTGCATATTAAAGGGCTAAGTGTATTTTACCTTTTCTGCAGGTTCACGAGAGTATAAATTAGAAACAATCTTCTGGATACAGGTCCAACAACACTTGGGACATGCTGTGGCACGCTTTACAAGTTCGTGGTAAACCATAGCCACTAGTCTGCAGTAAGCATGCTGATTTTGCCTACTGTGCTCCTTCCCACAAGAGAAACAAACCCACAATCTGTGGCTTAGTGTTAATATTAAAATTATGATCAGCAAGTCAAGAACAAACTTTGAGCACAAATCATAGTTTGTCTGTAGTGAAACACATCCAAACTAGAATTTTCATTTAACACAATTAAGCTGGGGACTGTAGCAAAGTGGGCAAAATGACCCAATCCCAGTAAACCATTAACTATGATTGACCCGTGAATGAAGACAATGCATGTTTTAAGTATAAAATCAAAGTACTTGCTGACCTTATATGCTATACAATCAAATTAAAACATATTTTGCTCGATTTATTCTTAGGGAAATCTTCTCAAACCTGTACATAAATCCAACAAAGTGGAAGTACAAAAAATTATTTCAGAAATAACTACAGGAATGGCACTGGGAGGATGAGGGCATTGTGTGAGAAACCATTCGTAAATTTAACACACATAAGCCTCACATTCAAGTAATCTTTCTACCATACGGCTAATCAAGTTGCCCTGAAAAAAAATGTATTGGCATGTGACTATCTAAGAAACAGAAAAGATCATTTTTGGATATATCTATTTATCTAAAATCCAAATCACACATACATGCCTTTCACTGAGTGACCTGCAGAGCACTACTGTGCCTAAAGTTACATCAGATTCTATCTGTCTGCAATAATGAAACTGGTGTGGATAGGAATACCACTTTTAGCACCATTGGTATATGTTGCAGTCTTTGATGCATGTGTGGACTGTCCTAATTCTTCATAAATCATCCACCCATCTGAGAAAGCCAATTCATCAGTAAAGGAAGGACTCACCTTCCTTCTTCTCCAAACCAGCGGCCCCATCAGCACTACTTGTACTAACAACTGAAAGTTCAGAAAAGCTACCAGACAAGTTGTCAAGGCTACTGGCAGCAGACAGATTAGAAGGGCTGGATGGAACAGAAGAAAGTGAATCTGCTGAAGATGCTGTGTTTTGAGATACATTTATAACCTGAGGCTTGTAACAAGATGGCAAGGCGGAAGGTGGCATGGCAGCTGTCAATAATGCACTAACATCATCTGCCTGAAAATAATAATTTAAAAAATTAGAATATCATTAAGACATTCACAAATTTATTCAAGCATATATGAATACAAGGTAACATTTACAGTGAGTGGCCTTTTACTTGAGCTATCCTAAGAAGCCAAGTTTTCTTACATTCTGCTATTTACCAGTATCACCAGATATATTATCACTCTTATCCAGAGTCTGCTTGTGTATAATTACAATGCAATGAAAGGCATGACCCTAGAGACAAATCCTATACAAAAATCACTCACTTGCAGTGTACCCCACCTCACACATTAAAATGGTAAAAAGACTATTTTTTTAATGTGGCAAACACTATTGTAGAAAGATTGGCAATGCAGCTCTATACATACCTACTCAGAAGTCCCCTTAAGTTCAAGAGGATTACTTCCAGGAAAGTATGCTTATGATCCTAGGCTAAATATAAACTGCAAGCTCCTAGGGTGCCACAGAGTGCACAATGATGCTATCTTTAGCATTATACTGAGTAAGAAATTCTGTGTTGCGAGTTTTGGACCTAGACATTTTTAGTCACAAACTGTGAATGGCAGGTTGCTATCAATAGTTTAACTTGAAGACATAAAGTAGCCCAGAAAATACTAGGTAATAACATCAAGCAATATGTTTGTAAATGAACACAAATTCAATAACATAGTTTATCTCCTCTCTGAAAAATGTACTTCCAAAAGCCACACCTATACTAAATTCCTTGAGTCCATCTTCAGTCCCAACTTTAGGGAACTGCTTTTTAGCTTCCAGCCCACCATAATAACAACACGTTTTTAATCTCTCAAATTTCATATCTGGGTCAGGAGCCAGGAACTGAAGCTTAATGCAAACTTCTCAAAAAATCCCATCACTTACGGTGACTAGGTCTAAAGGCGTTTGTCCTTCCTGGTTTTTCAGAGTAGGATCAGCTCCATGTGCCAACAATAAGGCACAAAGCTGTGTCCTTCCTTTCTGGGCTGCTTCATGCAAAGGTGTGAAAGCCCATTTGTCCGTAGCATTTACACACGCATTATACTTTATAAGTAAAGCTGCTACATCTACATGCTGGAAAATAAAATACATTTATGTAGTGCAACCCTTGGGGGGGGGGGAGTTTGCTGCAATTTTCCTTTGGATTTCCTAAAAAAGTGAACGTTGCAAAATACATTCCATCAAAACAAAGAGGGCAGTTCAAGTCTCGGTACTCCGCTATTGCATGCAGGTCAGCTCACCCCACCCTGTTTTGTGGTTTGTTCAAATAGCCACCCTTTCTTGGAAGCTCTAATATGAGATATGATATTGCTAGAAATGCCTTTCTTATTCAACTGTTTGTCTCCATCTCTATACAGGGAGACTGTGGGGCATTGGGGAACAGCCTGCTGGAGAGAGAGAGACAGCTTCTTGCCCAAGGCCATCAAATGACCTCAATACCAAGTTGAGATTTGAGCAGACAGCTTCTAGTTCATACTCCATGCTCTTAAACTCTAGCCCCATCTACATGTAATCTTTTACCCATGTGTGTAAACAACCAGCATGCTTAACAGCATGGCTGTTTTACAATACTGTGAGTAGAACATAGCTATGGAGATTACCTGTTATGATGGTCACTAGAATGGGCAACGTCTGGATAGTGCCTTTCCTAGGGAACATCATGCTGGGTAATCTCCATATCTAGGAAGCCCATGACAGTATATACACTCAATGTTCGTACAAAGAACACTTGTTCTGCAAGAAATCAAATGTATTCATACACTTTCTTTATTCAGGGCATTAGCAAAGTGTATAACTTGGTTCACAGAGCCAAAGAGACCGTTGCCTCTGTGGTATTCTGACCATCAGCCTAATTTGGAAACTATTCCTTCGAAGTGTTCTAGGATTAGAGAGCAGATCAGGAAATAAAAGTAAGAAATGGCTTAATCTTGCCTGTAAACTTTAGTTTCTCACAATCTAAACTATCCTGGTTAGATTCCCTTCTTCACTAGAGTTGCGCTAGTAACTAAAAACGTCGACCCTCACCCTCCAAAATCATCTGTGGCAGCTGGTTTCGGAAGTACTGCTTCTAGTCTGTTAGCAGTATGCCTCTATCCCATATATTCTTTGGCGTGAGATGGGGGGGGGGGAGACACACAATCAGAGCAGTAACAACAGAAGTTTTAACTACATGTTCTCAATAGATAGGTGTGAAAATCAACAGCTTGAGTTGGAATTCACTGAAATTAAACATGCAAATACACATGAGTTGAAACAGCATGAGGGACACCTCTGTGTGTGTGTGTGTGTGTATTACTCAATACTGAGTTATGAAAAAGAACTGTTTTCCACAAATATTATGAAATTTAGAAAACTCTCATACACCCTGGGCTGTATCCAGGCAAAATACTGGGAGAGTGAACACACAATCCTGTATTTAAGGAAACACCAACAAACATTGATTTGTGCTCAAATAAATTTTAGATCTTCTGGTTCAATCATTCACTTCTTCCCATAGAGTTTATGATATACTTACCCCATAGGATGCTGCATTGTGTAGAGGAATTAGACCCCCTTTATCTTGTGCATTTACATCAGCTCCATGCTGTAACAGATATTCTGCAACCTCCAAATTGTTGTAACCAGCTAGCAAGAGAATAATTTTTTTTAATGGATTATCAAAAGGCACCTGAAAAATATTACTATAAATGTATCAACAAACTTCTTTTCCAGCTTACCTGAACCATAAAGTTCTGAACTATTTTTTTTTAATTGCAGAGTAAACACGGTTATATGTATACTCTGAGATGGAGAAGCCCAACTCAAAGGCAAAACACAAGCTTCACATACATAGCCTTCCATGTTCAGCCTTGTGTGTGTGCGTCCATTCCCATGAGGTGCTGTTAGCAAGCTTACAAGGCCGAGATACTAGACTTGCACAGTCACCCGTCACTCTTGCTATTTTCTACTATTGAGACAATTTCTTTGGGTTGTATCCAATCTCTCTTCCCCTTTCCCGCCCCCTCTCCAGAGGTTCAGGGAAGCCCTCCTAAACAGTGTAGGCTGCACTGCACTGAGTGTGAAAGGTTGCCTAAAACCAGGTGGGGTTTTTGTAAGATCTCTCAACCCAATTTCAATTCCCTTGGTACAGAACAATACAGCCCATGTTTTTCCACTGGGCCTCCAATGCTCTGGGGAGATTTCTTTTTTCAGGGTGAAGGGGAGTGCAAAGAAAGAAAAGAGAAAGATTGGATGTAACCCATTGTAACTGTCTAAATAGCAATTTTTGAGGGTACAGAAGACTGCAGGAGGAAGGAAGTAAAAAAGCAAGATTAGCCTGAGGATCTGCCTTTGGCTTTTGCAACTGCTGACTACAATCCAATTACTTTAAATAACCCCTTTTCAAGTTCTAGTCCAAGACAGATCCTTAACAAATGCATTAATATGGTAACACCAACCTGCCAAGTGGAGCGGAGTGGAGTGTCGGCCTTGTGTATCACGGCAATTTACATTATCAGGGGAGCACAATTTCTTCACCCGAGCCAAGCAGCCCTTTTTCGCAGCATCTAGCAAAGCTGCATCTCCTCTAAGGAGATCCTGAATATCTGTGTCACCATCTTTAACAAGGTCTAATGGTGTGTTTCCATCTCTGTTTTTCTTTGTGGGGTCAGCCCCATGCTAGATAAGAAAAAAACCCAACAACACATTCATTAGCTTTCATAACTCAAGTAGAAACATATTTAAGATTTGTATCATTGTCAGCTGATTATTTCTTTCTCTATTAACAAATATTCAAATATACTAAGAATGCTCACCAGCTCTATGCGTACCCCAATTAATGAGGCAAACCAAGGTGATTTGGGTTGTAGTTCCATGTTGCTGACTTGGGTCCTGCTATTAACAATGCATCTTCAGGAGGCTAATGGACCCTCCAAGCACCCTCATTTCCCCCCACCTCACAAAAGGTTAAATGCACAACCATTCTCCCACCTTCCCTTTCCTGAGAAATGAAACCAAGCTGATTGGGGAAAAGCAGAGGGTGAGCGAGGTGGTGGGATCTTCCATTTTCATGGATAGGTCTAGCTTTTACTAATGCGTTTGACATTTACTGTAGTATTGTGTTTTAAAGTTGTAAACAGTCTTGCAACATTTTACATGAACGTGCAGTATATAAAATAAACAAACACACAAACACTTTTAAAGGTTCCTGCAGAAAGTCTGTCCAACATTTAGCAGGCTTAATCCACTTAATTCCCCATTATAATCCATGGGGATGAAAGACAACTTCAGATTTAAAAGATCAGATTTTAATCCAAATAATGAATTGAATGGGAACAATATGGCGCAGAAATGAAACACAGTGGACTGCTTCTAAATACAACAGACACAAGGTGAATCTTGTGGTAGTTGCTCTAATATAGAACATGGGATAGTTTGAAACATTTCTTTAAACACAAATTTAATACCACTAAATGGAAATAAGCAAACTAATGAAACTGAAACATGCTTCAGTTTTTCATGTGACGCACCTGTAACAGAAGCTTACAAATCTCGTATTTCCCTTTTGCAGCAGCTTCATGTAAAGGAGTGAACTTCCACAAATCAGCTACATTGACAACTGCACCATGTTTAACCAGCAGTTCAGCCACTTCATAGTGTCCATAAGAACAAGCATTGTGCAAAGGGACAAGGCCTCTGAAAATATGAAGGAAAAACATCCATCAGTGTTTGCATCACTTGGCAGGGTACCTTAATTTTGGCTAACATTTTCAGTATCTTAAAAAATACCTCAATTTTCTAATGACTGACCTAAACATATGGTTAAGTATAGCTGTTATTAAAAACAAAATAATTTCAGAAAAAAGAAGTGCATGAAGAATTATGTGTTCATATGGAGATAAATCAAATACTTTAGTCAACTAGATACATTTAATTCAAATAGCCTCTAGTTACAAAGCAGTCTTCCCCAACCTAGTACCCTCCATATATTTTGAACTACAATTCTGATCAGCATAGGCACCAGATTGGGGAAGATTAATATAGTGTATATATTTAAGGTCAACACAAAGATCATACAGCCATCATAATTCTGTAATTTGTAAAGTTGACATCAGCTAGAAGACCAGTTGTTGGGGTTCCAGGCTTTGCAAATGTTAAGCTGCTGAAGGTATAGAGGGGGACTTGAATTCTAAAATTCCTAGACATTTAATATATGCTTGAGGGAACATTTAGCCTTGTGTGGTGGATAATGCCTTATCTATATACTGAAACTAAACTTAGATGACGAAAAGATTATGAGTGGGGAGGGGGATAAGCCATGATACCCTATGATACTTATTTTTTCTAGAAAAAAATATTTGAAGCATAGCCCCCACCCAAAGCATTCTTGATCCAATACATGTGTCAGGCACTAACACAAAGAAGAATGGAGAATTGTCTTCCGCCCTCTGCTCCACTGCCTACATTCACTATGAGCTATTTAATGGAATATTTACCCCTTGTCTTTTGCATGAACATCAGCACCATGCTGCAGAAGATACTCAACCACTGATACTCTGTTGTATCCTGCTGCAAAGTGGAGTGGAGTGGACTGGCGGCCTTCAATATCCCGGCAATTCACGCTTTGTACCGTACATAACTTCTAAGGAACACAACAGTTGAGACACACGTTACTTCAGCCAAATATTCAGCCAACCCCCCCCAAAAGCAACTGTCTTGAAATCAGAACTTTTATATGATTTTGTATTTCAAAGCAATTAAAATAGTTATCTAAATTTTCAACGTTTTCTCATCTCTGAAGACCTGAGAATAATCTTCACAAATTAGCCGGCCACACTTATATATGTCATCTTTTTGATAGAAAGAAAAGCCGCAATCCGTTTCTAAACTTACTTTTACTGTGTCCACATCACCTGCCTTTGCAGCTTCCAGCAATTGCCGATCTGCTTCTGAGTTGCCTAAAGGGACACCTTCTATAAAATAAATGAGGGTATAAATTACTTAACGAAGTTCAAATAGCACAGATGACAATAATAAATAGTCATTAATACTAACCCTTAGAGAAATACCATTTTGAGATCTCATAGTCTACAAAAATATAACTATCCTAGACAAAAGGCTTGATTTACAATTTAACTGAACATGCCAACTAAACTTTCAATTACCAGTTAGAGAAACTCAGGTACAAGAAGTAGCTGCAGGACTATTATTAATGCAAAATTAGATATGCGCTGTTGGAACTGAACCTGACACTTTTTACTCAGACATAAGTATTTTTCATAATGAATTACAGTATGCAGTATTAACATACACAAACTGTCAGATAATTACCACCAGCTGAATGACAAAGGTTCATGAAACAGCCAACTAAAGTTGCAACTGCAACACACAATCTTATACTGTAGACATAACTTTAGCAAGATGAAAGAAAGAAGGAAACCACCAGTGATTACGCTCTTCGTCTCTGAATTGGAAAAGGGGGTCACTTGAAGAAGAGTGACAACACTCCCCCACTTTAACATTGTGCAATAGCCTAGCCTGAAAAAGCAAGGCCAACCATTTGTACCTATTCTAAGAAAACAGGCCACCATTAATTGCCCATGACATTTTTTCTGTTTTGAAGTTCCTTCAGCATGTTCCTCAGGTGTAGAAGAATCTGTGGGCGCAAGGGATGAAGGTTTCAGAATTAGTTTTAGCTTGTAGTGCAGCAAACATTTGCTGGTACTGCAAATCATACACATCAATTATTTTTCAGTTCCAACAGAAAAAAAATTCTAAAGATTGCTTAAGTAGCCGATACATTGACAAGGCAGAAGTGTTAAAATTATTACCTTGTAATAATTGCTGAACACTCTCATTTCCCATCTGAGAGGCTGTGAAACCCTGCAGTGACACAATTGATGGATCACACCCAGAGCTTAACAACAGGCGGCAGGTCTGCAGATGACCACAGTGTGCTGCTCTATGCAGAGATGTCTGCCCAAGGTTATCCAAAGCATTGACCTAGAGATGATCACAGAATGTTAAAAATATCATTAACATAAAAGTGTGCAGAATACATTTTTCAAGAACAATCTGAAGGAATTCCACTTACAAAAACCCAAAAACTACAGTGTGGAATATTGGTTTGCAAATTTTATTGCCTGCAAAACATCTTTACAGCAAAAATGGACTGTTTATCAAGAGTTCAAACACTCCCAAAAATCTTCATCTTAGTCTCTATATAATGCCAAGAATGCAACAGTTGGGCAAATCACAAAAAGATACCGTATTTTTCGCCCTATAGGACGCACTTTTCCCCTCCAAAAATGAAGGGGAAATGTGTGTGCATCCTACGGGGCGAATGCAGGCTTTCGCTGAAGCCTGGAGAGCGAGAGGGGTCGGTGCGCACCGACCCCTCCCGCTCTCCGGGCTTTAGGAAGCTACAGCGCCGCGCTCCCCGGGCTTCGGATAGCAGCAAGCTCCCGGAGCCGTTCTGAAGGCTGGGGTCGGGGGAAGCTCGGGCTTCCCCCGCCCCCAGCCTTTCAAGCTCCAGCCACGAGGCTAAAAATGAAGCCAGGACAGCTAGCGGGATCCATCCTGCTCGCTGTCATGGCTTCTTTGCTCTTTGGGGCTCGGGGGGGGGGGGGGGATAAAAATGTTTTTCTTTATTTCCCCCCCCCCCCCCAAAAAAAAATAAGTGTGCCCTATAGGGCGAAAAACACGCCTGAAGGTTATTATTAGGAGTAAGTTACAAAATTTGCAGGTTTGCAATTCTCTACTTTATTATATACAAAAATATGCCTGATTACAATTAAGTGGCTCATACCTTTGCTTCATGTTTCACGACTACTTCAACAACATCATTATGACCTTTTTCTGCTGCCACATGGAGAGGTGTCAGGAAGCTTGATTTAAAAAAAGTAATGACAGTTTACACCGAGTTTTCTTAGACTGATAATTGATAATTAGTATGCAAATACAATGGCTAGAGCATCAGTTTGCAACTGGGGAGAACTCCAATTATGCATTATTTATTTAAGTATTTATAAACTGCACTTCTCATAAAAATATAGCAAGGTACTATACATTGATAAAAGCAACATTAAAATAATCTTTGTGTGGCCTTCGACAAGTCAATGGCTACATCTGCATGTCCTGTTAAAGTTTACCATGAAGTCCATAAACCAGAACAAGTTGCAGCCTTCTCCTCCTTCCATGCAACCAAGTAGTTCAGAAGCTTTTGCTTCTGTTTCAAGTTAATTACAGTTTGTCATGTTGCCTGCACCTGGAATTATGGCTGACGTTAACTATGGTTTCAACAAGATAGCTTCATAAACCATGGTCTGAAGTTGACTTGTTATGCAGTGAGCACATTCTAAGGCAACTAAGTCTGCACGCTGGAATGAACCAGAGGCTTCACCTATCTCCCTAGTTCTCATCTCACATGGCCAGAAGGACTTTGGCAGCATTTAGATTCACTTTCTTCCAATCTTAACTTTTTTCTGTTGTATGCATCTACAATCATGGTGTTTATCACAAACTGGACAATTTCCAAACCAGTAATGGAATGACTGTCCTGAGATGCTTGGAAGCAGGGTGGAATAAAAAAGTGAAATGAAAACTCACTCTTTTGTCTTTTCATTGATGTTGGCTCCTTTTCTTAAAAGCAGTTCACAGATTTGTTTTCTTTTAGGATATGGAGATGCAGCAGCACAGTGCTATTAAAAGTGAAATCATTATATCATTTGCTTATCAGCTTATGGTGAAACCAAACTATATGAAAATATGTGACTTTCAAACCAAACCACATGGAAATATGGGAGTATTTTTTTCAGGCCTAAGTGCTTAGGAGGAATGATTTTCATGGAGATTACCTCTGGGAAGAGTTAAGCCTCCACCACTGCCATCTCTACAACAGAAAGGTCATACTCCCAACCAGCACTTAGGCTAGAAACAGCCTTGCATTAAAGTCAACTGGGATGCTCTTTCCATGTCGAACTGCTGCACTAGTGACAGTTTTCAGGACTACCTTGAAAATGCTTCCCATGCACCAATCAAGTTTGAAAAAAAGCATAACTGTCATTTGGAGGGGTCACAGTGCTGGAGGTTAACATGCTCTCCCAAACTTTACCCTACCCACCCCATGTGGCAATTAAGACTTGAAAATGCCTTCCATGGGCTCCAATGGGAGGCTGGTTTTAAGACTAACTGCTGCATGCAGGGGGGCAGGGGACAAGGAAGGGTAGCTGAGGACCAGATGCAGAAGCCACACAGGCCCTACACCTTTTACTCAGGTCTTAGTTGTTCCCTTCTCCTTAAACAGTATTTGAGAGATGAATGAAATTCAAGGAACTATCAACAAATGGATTTGGATAAACTATGCCTAAAAAACAACAATGCAGTTAAACAGTATGGCCACCAAAGCTGGTTAAAAGGAAAATAGCTGCATGTCAACTTGCCTAGCTTAGCTACCACACAACATAAATATATATTCAACAAATTACCAAGGCAGTTTCGTGAGTCTGGGGATGTTTGAAATTTACAGTCTCAAGAGAAAGGTGCTTTTTTACACGAGCTGCATCAGATTCCCTTGCAGCATGTAGCAGTGAGTGACCTTTGAATTCATCTAGAAGAGAAAACAAGATTTCATGATGTATAGGTCTCAAGTCATTATCACAGGTACATCTTATTGCTGCTAGGATAAAATTACTTTCAAACAATACACACACTGTTCTGCATTAAGACACATTTGCAGAAATCATTAAGAATGGTTCCTCTAATTTCAAAAAGATAAAAAATTTGTCTTCTCACAGAATAGTCATCATGCCTAGTCTTGAGGGGGGAAAGATGCCTTTAAATATCTTGATACTAGAAACTTTTAGTATCACAAATCATGACTGGCTACAAAGTGTGGGTCCCTACTGGAAACGGGGGGGGGGGGGGGATATGTTCATATCCATCAGTTCTTCTCAGTGAATCCCATTTCCTCTATACTCACATGCCAATCGTTCTTTCAACTGAGGTGTTGGGGCCAAGTCGATTGTACTTTTATTATGGCAGTTTAACAATGTAGGATCAGCACCATAGCTCAGCAAGAGAGAACACACTTCCACTCTGTTCTTAGAAGCTGCTTCATGCAGAGGAGTAAACTGCCACAGATCCATTGCATTCACAAATGCTCCATGCTAGGAGAGGAAAGATAACTTATGATTTTATGCTGGATAATACTAAACTAGAACTCTGATGTCATAGGGAAGACATGATCCATGTAACATGACCCCATAAACACTCATATACAGAAGGTTGAGAACTTTTTTTAAGGAAACTCCTTTCCTTCTAACAGTGACTGCTTAGCTTCATGACAAGACACATGCCTTTATCCATAAATGGTTTGAACTTGAGTTTCCTTAAAACAAAAAAACCAAAAAAACCCCAAGACCAATACTTCCAGGAACAATCTCAAAACACGCTGGGCAAGTGGTTGTTACAGCCAATATAATTACAGTAATTTCAGAAGCCCAGTATCTTTAACTTGAATCACTCTCCTAATCCCATGTTTCTCGCATGAGACATTTTTATCAAAAGAAAAAGTAGTATTACTTGATCCCATACAGAAAGTGTAAATTTAGCATTTTCAGACGTACAAGCCCTAAACACAATCAGTCCAACATTTTCTTCCATAATTTCTTTTACCTCATGCAATCTAAAATGGGTTACACATTAAATAATATGCATACTTCAATGACCATTTTGAAAAATCTAGGTGACAGGAAGTAATTTTCAAAATACCAAAACAGAAAGAAACAAAATTGCAATAACCTTCCCATAAAAATTGCACACAATTAAGAAACTTACCTTTACTAGAAGTTCTGTTACTTCGTAATGTCCATAGGAGCAAGCATTGTGAAGAGGAACAAGATCTCTGTGGGGGGGAAATCCCAATAACTTAGCACATGAACACTGAAAAATCTCCTTCAACAAATAAAATATTGTCAAACACGGTTCATTATTAGTATCAAACAGAAAGCCCAAACATTCATCTGACAAATTGAAAAACCAAACATTGGCTGGGGGGTGGGGGGGAGTTCCTCTGTCATTGGGCTCAATGCTCTTCAAAAGTATAACAACTTGGTGGTCAACTTATAGCAATTAAGTCCTACTGAAGTCAACAAATAATATCGTTGTTTTTAACTGGAGACGTTCAATCAAGTTAAATTTGATTAGAAAGAAAGCCAGTTGGCATTAGAGACAGCGATGTGGTAAAAAATAAATATTTGCAGATGATCGGCCCATAATTGAAGATAACAGACTGCAGAATTAACTCACAAAATTTGAAGGAATGCAACAGTTATAAAACCCCTGGATTGACCGAGTACAACATGTTGGAGGAAAGACTCTGCATAGTTCTCATGCAAGTCCATGTTAAAACATGCCCTTTTTTATTTAATGAAAAGCTTCATGTAATCATCTGATTAAAGCGCCAATCAGTCATTCCCTTCCCACATGATTGGAAATTACATGGGTAAGAGTAGAAGCAGTTGGCAAGAACTGCCTCCTCCGGTGCAACACATTTGCCAGTCTTTACACCCCTTCATGCTTCAGAAGACTGTGCTTCAACTCATGAAGGGGTGCACAAACTGGCAAAGATTATATGCCCCCCAAAGTGGGGCTTGCTAAGGCATCCCAACCCTTTCAAATAAAGTTAATGTCCAAGAGGGCTTCTGAATTTAGAATTTCTAAAGGCCCGGTAAGATGGCCTAGTCTTTGAACAAAGTGCCACAAGTTGTGGCATGCCCATTTCAGAGATAAATCTAATCCATGCTTCAACAGAATCTACAAAATCATACCACAACCTCCCAAGAAAAACCTACCCTTTATCCTTGGCATGTACATCTGCTCCATGCTGCAGCAGGAGCTGTACAATCTTAACACGGTTATAGCCAGCTGCCAAGTGTAATGGAGTTGACTAGAAATAAAATAAATAAATCTGTTATATAAATAGAAGGAAATTTTCCATTAAAATTATAATAATAAATCAGTTAAAACATTCTACGTTATCTGTAGCATGACACTGGGGGCTGCAAAGGGAGGAGTGTCAGCAAAAACTCACATCCTCTACTACCTGGCAGAAGGATATTTAGAAACATAAAAAGAGCCTGCTGGATCAGATAAGTGGCCCATCTAATCCAGCATCTTCATTTTCTGCTGGATCAAAGCCTTCCCTGATTATTCAGAGCTGTTCCATCCATGGAATGCTACCTCTGGATCCAACCCATAGATTTAGGAGGGCCTTTCTCATAAGAAGTTACATTTCAGTACAGCACAGTGAGCCAGAGAAAGAATGAGGCTTAATTTCCCACCTCTGTTCAAAGGCAAAAATTACTGCAATCTTTTCTCAAGCTAAACTAGTTACATATATATTTAAAGAGGACAGCATAATAAAGGGGCAACAGATTTTGATTTCTATCCATACCCCAGGCAAATATAATTTATAGAAAGTAATTAATGCTACCAAGCACACTAGTAATATTACTGATACAGCAGGCATTTCTGGCAAAGAAAACCAATGCATAATCTCTATATTAGATTCCTTAGTAACATTTGTTTCTGACTGGCTTTCAAAAGTACAATTTTATTAAAAACCAAAGAACAACTGATATTGCCAAGACAGAATATCCATGGCTCTTTTGTTTATACAGCTAGGGAACACACATAATATCAGATTTCTACTTTAAGTAAACATTCCTGAATTAAAATATAATTCAAAACATTAACCAAAGTATATGTTACCAAATACATTACCAAATACATTTTAATGTAAAGTGTGGTGTGTGTGTTTTTTAATCTTACATTTTAAAGTGGGCATTTGAAAACAAAAATACCTTTCGGCCATCGCTTGCATGACAGTTGACATTTAGTGGTGTGAGAAGAGCCATCAGTTTTTCTTCATTTCCACTCCTAAAAGGCAATTAAAGACTCCTGAACATTTGGCATGCATCCTTCTTTATTCAACTTACACAATACTGCAAAGCAACTACAAACAGCTACCTGAATGCTTTACAATTAAAAATAAAACTTTGGAATAGATTTTATTGGTGCAATGGTACTAGCTTACTGTACTTCATACATCATATATTAAAATTCTTAATCACAGTTGCTAGCAACATATCTATTGTTATTTTATTGTAGGAACACTCGTGGTTGCATCCAACGCTGCAAGAGCAGCATTCCATTCACATTTGATGTGTGTGAAGATTCCAGCAGGAAGTGTAAAAGTTTGCCCCTTTCATTGAAGAGTGAAATCTAGGAGGACACGTAAGGACAGAGCTTTCTCCAACCCTCTAGATTAAGGTGTGCAGGTGTGGGGGTTACTTCTGGACTAGACACTTGCCTTTTAGGAATGGGACTGAGATTAATATGGTGCCTCAGGCAGGTTGTTTGCATGCTGGTTCCTGGTTTCCTAAAAAGTACTGTTTTATTTGTCTAGGGGGCAATGAATTTTAGATGGATTCTATCTTTGTCAAGACAAAATCCCCTGGGTGTATGTGATTAATTTACCTGTTAAGAAGTTTGACCAGGGCCAACTTTTTGTTTAGGACGTAGGCCAGTACTGTAACCAATGAAAAGAGTCAAGTAGAGTAGAGTAGAGAGCAAGGCAGCCTGGCTCTAAGGCCCATGCCAGTATGTGTGTGCAGGCCCTTCCTTGAATGTCATTCATGCACTGTCCCTGCTTCCCCCACCTCCACACACAGAGTGGATTGCCTGCATTGGAGAAGTATTGCCATTGCATGGAGAATGCCAGACATTAAGATCATGGTAATAATTTCCAATCCATAACTCTACATAATAATAGCCCTTGTTATGCAGAATATGAAAATCTTCAATGTGTAGCCTGTCTCATTTTTCGGGCATTTTTGAAAGAGGCTGGGCAGTAGATCCAGCTTACATCTTTTATTATTTCCTACCTGGCACTTTCCAAGAGTTCATCTTTCTTGTATTCACCTGAAAGTTAGCAAAAAGGAGATAGGATTCTTTAATTTCAAATACAAATGTGTAAAACCTTTATAAAGCAAGGTTGTTGTTTTTTTTCCTGTGTTTTTTATCCTGTCCTCCCTCCCCAAATAGTATGCTGGCTTGCTAGAAACAAAATATGATAAAGCGATATTCAATATACAATAATTAAAATTACAGTTATAAAGTCATCTCCTTCCAAAGGCCTGGATGAATAAAAATGTATTCCTCTTTCTCTGACTGCACACTACACACTGGGACATGTGGAGGAAGTTACTCCTTCAAGTACTTGGGACAAGGTCATTTACAACTTTTATGAGCACCAACACCCTGAACTGGATCCAGTTTGATAATTTTAAAATACTGGGTGTGATGTAACTAGGCTTTAGAGTAGACCTGTTGAAACTGAACGACTTAACTTAGTATGGTTTATTAATTTCAGTAGCCCTGCTCTCAGTAAAACTTAGCTGAATACCACCCCACTATTTTTGTATAAAGTCAAAAACAGCTAAACATTCAGGCAAGCAGCAAAACCTATGGTATATACAAAATATAATTATGCCAATTTAGATAAATAGCACAGCTGGAATAAAAAGTTTAGCCCTCAAAATGAAACAATCAACTCTGAAGCTAGCTACTAAACTTGCACAAGTAGCACTCTTTTCAAATATTACTTATTTTGCATGATGGTAGGATAAACAAGCCATTATATTTGCTTTCCCATAGGAGTGGTAAAAAAACAAATGGGCTGTTCTTTTACCAATCTTACAAAGTATTACTGATTTTTTTTCTTAGCAGGTCTTCTCCAGTTAACAAAGAGTATTACTTTCACCAAGCATAATAGGAGCAATACCACCTTAGCAGTAGCCAAAACATAAATCTTACAGATTACAAAAAGACAACATTTACCTGAGAGCACTGCTTTTGCTGATGGATCCGCCAAGTCCAATGCTGTTCTTCCATCTGTATTTCGGATAGCTGGATCAGCACCATGCTGTAACAGTACTAAAAGGAGAAAAAAATAAAGCTTTCATCAGAACTTGACAAGGAAGTAGCTCAGCGGAGATGCTAAGGGATTAGATGCCCTAATCTAAAACTATAAAATAAGAGTTAGAATTATGCTAACCTGATAATGAAACATAATCCTGAACATTTCAGTGTAAAAGGCTAGTTTCACTTGGGAAGTGTACACATATTTTCAAAAGCAGTTATACAAACAGCAGAATCAAGCAAAGGTAGTCACAGAACTGGTCCTAAGGATGAAACAGAACAGCTGGAAAATACTCCATTGTGAAAACACAATTTCCATGCTTTCTTTTTCAGTCACAAGTACAGTCTATGCCTGCACATACACTCCCTTTCCTTCCTTGCTGCATGTACATACAGCAGAAAGCATTAGCTAGAACAGAAGGAAAGTGTTTCCTGTGTCTCTATCAGTCCCCCTCTCCAACACAGTGCTCTAGAAGGAAATTAATGTGAGTGCCAAGTAAATCCCTCCTGGAGCCCTAGGGTGGGAAAGGAGAAATGTATGGAAACATTTCAATGCACATATTATTCTGCAACTAGAATATGTACAGTGCACATATTATTCTGCATCTAGAAGGAGGCAGGCTCCATCGACCTTATAATAACAGCCACACTCACATGTAATTACAGTTTGACACTCCCCAATAAGCCACTATTATCACTATTAGGTCTGGGGTATTGTTTAGGGGTTTTTGTTGGGGGGCTTTGTTGCTGTTATTGATTTTTTTTTGTATCTTTATTTTATATATTATTGTTATGCTGTAATTATGTAATGAACATGGTCTGAACTATGGAAAGGCAGCATACAAATAAAATTATGGATGAATGGATGTAACAAGAACATACTCTGGCTTAAGGTTGGTTATATTATTGTTAATTAGGTTTGTTATGTGCAAACATAGATAATGTCTCTGAATGTATGCAGACAGATCCTGTCCAACCAAGCTGGATATTACCCATAACCAGCTTCTCACAAAAATGAAAAAGAAGAAAATTCATTTACATACTATCTATATAACCACTTATATTTAGAACAACTTGGTATTTCATGGATAGTTGACTAGTTTATATTATTTTAATAAAGAACAATGTATCCTCATTTCTACAAGAAAGCCTCAGATTGTTCGAAAGCTTGTTTTCCGATTTAAAAGATATGCATGATTGTGTCACTTTATATAAAAAAACACTGGAGACACTTTTAAACCAGTGGTTCTCATACCTTCGCCACCCAGCCCCCATGATGCACTACTTAAAAATTGCCTGTGGATTACTTTCAGCTCTGGAACCATTGTCAAAACCAGCACCATATTATGAAAATCACAGGACCTAGGAGCTAGTTCAACAAACACAGCCCTGATGAGAATGGTTTCCATCTCTGTTGTCGAAAAAAAGTAAAAACATCCAGGATCAATTCTTGATTGTTCTGCAACTTCTCCACATATCACCTGAAAGATGACTGAACCACCAATGATCCAGAGACCCCAAGTGTTTTCAAAAATTACCTATGCAGACATCAATTTTGCCCTTAATGGCAGCTTCATGAAGGGGAGTGTAGTTCCAATTATCCCGTGCGTTAGGATCTGCACCATGCCGCAAGAGAAGATTGACAACTTCAGCATGACCAAAAGAACAGGCATTATGAAGTGGAATGAGGCCCCCATCGTCTCGTGCATGAACGTTACCACCACTCTGAAGCAAATATTCCACTACATCCCTTCGACCAAAACCTGAAACAAAAAAGTAGTTTTACATAGTCAGTCTTCAAAGGAAGAAAACTAGAGCTAAGAAACAAAACTCTAACTTGCTAATCTTCCTTATATATTCCATGAGTGCTATAACTAGACAAGATGCCAAAGAACTGCTTCTGGCTAACCAAATAAAAGAAAGGCTGAAGAACAGAACAGGAGATCGCTCCTATTTTGGATATTTTAAATTTCCTGAAGTTTTGAAGTCTCAATATTTTCAAGAAATGGTGTGGGGGGGTATACATTGTGTATTTTCTTATCAGTTCTAAGTATACATTCCCTAATTTTATTCAAACAGTATTTGCAAAAACACAATGTGTGCCCATAATAAATAAATTGTCAGTTGGCCAATACCCTATTTAGTTCCAAACATCTGACATTTTGGTGGTTCAAATAAAGGTATTGCCCAACTGGATTTTTTAAATGTTACAAAATGGATGTTTAATGCAGAAAGTATCATTATATAGTAAACAAATGGAAATTTTATCATTTGGACAGAGAAACAGTTGCCAGAGTCAGCATCATCAGTAAACAATACAGAATCCCCTGCATCTCTTTGAGGGAACCATGGAATAACTATAACTATACAAAATGTCAACTGGGGATGGGTAGCCTTCAGGATATATGTTGCCTGGTGCAACATAGTGGCTATGAGGTGGAGCCACAAATGGTGGCACAGGGTAGACAATTTGCACCTGACAATGTGTATATAAAAGATGAAGCCTGTATCTGAGTTACTCAGGGATCAGGGATTCTAAGACAAAACTCAAGCAATAGGCAGTAGAGCTGCAAAAAAACTAATTAATGCTTCTATTTTACAAGCAGGAAACATAGAAGCTGAGATAAATGATTAACAAAATGTCAGCCATCCCAGAGCTTTTTTTAAAAAAATCAAGTTTGCATACTAATATTCAATTCAGTCAGAAACCCTTCTATATGTATTGCAAATCATGCAGATCTACCTTCTGTCTGCTCCTGCCATAAGAAATGATCCATCTGTTATGCTGCTTCCAATTCTTAAAAAATACTATGGTCTCACAGAACAGAATAGGATTTGAATGCACACATCTGCAGTATACAGTTCAGGAGCCCTCAACCCTCTAGGTAGGTTTGAAGGGGGTGCTGGTGGGCACAGGAGGTGAAAGCAAGCAAGTCAACTTTCACCAGCCCACATGGGCATGCTTTTCTCTGGAGTATCTATGAAAGATAAGCCACGGAATCCAATTCCATGTGTTGGTTATACAATACAAAGCCCTGAAGAGCTCAGGGCTAAAGTACTTGTAGGGATGTCTTCCCCTCAGTGGGTTCCCCCAGTGAGTGTGGCTGAGGGTTGGGGAACTGCTGGTCTGTGGGCTAAAGGGATTTGTCTCTAGATTCAGCCTATGACCTCCCCTCCTTGGACTTGCCCCGTGCCCTAGCAATTAAGTTTCTTAATAAACCTAAATGCCACATGGGGGATTTCTTGATGGGGGTTGCAAGGGTTAGTCAGTCTCCCTCTCCTTGCGTGCTGCCCCCTCCTTAAATACCTGGGCCCTAGTTCGCATGTCACACACTAAGTCAAACCACAGTTTTGTGCAAATGCAAACATGCTTCTGGAGAAAACCTTGCACCACTATTGTTCCTCCCTGGTATTTTTAGTTAATGCAGAACAGCTGTTAAGCCAAAGTTTGGTTTAGTGTTTCATCCAAATCAGGCAACCTTCTCAACCACTACCTGTAAGTATAAGGGAGCCAGAATATTTGTTTGTTAAAAGCCATAGCATGGCTTGGTGTGATATGCTAATGTGGTCTGTTGCTGGTCTAGACATCATTAGGTTTTTTTTGATAGGATAAGTTTGCCTGTTCCTATCTGGGCAAATTAATGACAGTTAAGTAGTTCACCGTGTCATATGGACTAAACAACTTGGGCATTAAGGCTACATGCAATCCACAGCAAACTTATCTGGAAGCAAGCCAAAATCAGTAGGCTTTGGAAAAACCTGCATCTAAGAAGCTGCAGCCTCCTTTTCTCAGTTTGTCTATTTGGGTCAGCTCTAGCAACCTCAGCGTTGCAAAACACCACCTAAGCCTTGGATCTGAAGAAGGCATCCTTGTGTGCAATTACAAGATGGAATTACAAAATAATTATCAACTCTGATGTGACATCTGCACACATGCAATTGTGACCAATGATTTCCAGGAACTTCTAAACACACACTTGCCTAATCACAACAACCCATCTATGTGCATGTTTTACACACAATGTGCTTGTTAATCCCCCTTGAGCAACAACATCTTCCTGAAAGCGCCCACAAAGCACAACGTGAACTAATGTTTACAGGATGTGGACCATCACTCGTTTTAGCTCTGAGAGTGGATTGCAAACTTATTAACAAATTCACCCCCGACGCGTTTCCTTCTCAAACTGGACACCTTTTGAATGTCAGGACTTGGCCAGTACCGGTTTGCTTCCCCTTTGGGCGCCACTTTTCAGGTATGCAGCAGCCCTTCCGAGGAGACTCTGAAAACAATGCATCCCGCCCACGGAGCGGAAGGTCGGCCCACGCCACCACTTGCAGGCCTCCCTCGCTGTATGTGGGGGGGGGGAGGGGGGTCAGTCTGGCTGCTCTTGGCTACGGTGGCCATTTAAACACGAGCCCCCATAGGCTGCTTTCAGGGACGGGGATCTCGTGAGTTCCTCCTGCATGGCCAGAGATCAGGGACGAGAAGGGGGGGCGGGTTTATAGGCTCCTCTTATTTCCACGAAGGAAACGTGCGGACGTGGGGACACCCGCCCACCAACTCCCTGAATGATTCCCCTTAAAGCCCCAAATAAACAAACAGCACCTTCCTCGGCGGAAGGGGCCCAATGCCACGGCCCTAAAGCCACTATACCCCGAAGCCCCGTTCACATGCAGAGTCAGAGTTAGGGGCGGAGACGCCAGAGGCGGCGGCGGCGGCCCGGCCACCCGCGAGTACCTGCGGCGAAATGGAGGGGGCTGGACTTCCTGCCGGCCGTGTCCCTGCTGTTCACGTTCTCGGGCCTCACCAGCCGCTTCACGCGCTCCACGTCGCCGTTCCGGCAGGCTTCGAAGAGCTCGCGGGCCGGCTCCGACGACGCCCCCCCGGCGCAGCACGGGGACAACAGCAACGGCGGCGGCGGCGGCAGCGCTTCCCCCAGGGGACCAGCCGCCGCTCCGCCCCGCCGCCCCGCCATGCCGGGGGCAAGAGCCAACTTCCTCCCGCGTTCGCCCTCAGAGCCCAACACCCGCCATAGGCGGCCCGAGCTCTCTCCGCGGAGAGCGGCGGGGGGAGGCGGCGGTGGCGGCGGCGGCCGCCGCGGGGAGCAATTCGACGCCACAGTCGCCTCCGGCCGAGGCAGCCACTGAGGGGGAAGGGAGGCGGAGCAGCCGAGGTGCGCGCGCAACGATGAAGGGGGGGAGGCGGGAGGGGAGGCGCATGCGCGATGTGCGCGAGAGAACTGCCGGCGCGGCGGTTAGAGCAACGGAGTGACGTCCGGGCAGCCGCGGTTGCTCCAGCGGTTGAAGCCCCGCCCCCCAGCCCGGCTTCCTTGGGAGCAGCCGTTCTCAACCTGTGGGTCCCCAGATGTTGTTGGACTACAACTCCCATCATCCCTGAGCTCTGGCCTTGCTAGCAAGGGGTGATGGGAGTTGTAGTTGAACAACATCTGGAGACCTACAGGTTGAGAAAGGCAGCTTGGGAGTCAGCTTCTCGTGGGTACCGCTGCTTGGTTACGCGTTAGGAATAACGCAATGCGTGGCTGAATACGGGATTGTAGCGTTGGAAGGGGATCCCCGAGGGTCATCTAGTCCAACCCGCCCGCCCCCGCAATGCAGGAATCTCAACTAAAGCATCCTGGATGGGTGGCCATCCAATCTGCTTTAAAACCCCCAGCCTCCTGAGGGAGACAGCTGTACTGTTGACCAGCTCTTGCTGTCAGAAAGTTCTTCCTGTTTAGTCCTAATCTACTTTGTTGTAACTTGAATGCATTGGTTCGAGTCCTGCCCTCCGGAGCAGGGGAAAACAAGCTTCCTCCTTTCTCCATGTGACAGACCTTTAGCTATTTGAAGAGGGCTATTCCCTTTCCTCTCAGTTTTTTCCAGGCTAAACATACCCAACTCCTTCAACCGTTCCTCATAAAGCCTGGCTTCCTGTCATGAAGTCAGCACAGTATGGGAGTAAAGCTTCCTAGGCATTGCAATGGGATGATTGTTTGGTATTGAGTGCCAGTGTTGGGCATGCCCGCTATAGAAATTGGTGGCTTCAGGCACACCTGACAGCAGCACAGTGTAAAGTTGTGGCTTCATCCCGGTGTTGGTGTCATAGGCAAGTAGGATAACTGCTTGTTGGGACCCCCCCTGCCCCATTGCTAATTTCGGTTTTCAAAAACACATGCCTGGTAGAAAAAATGGCAAGCACAATTGATACGGCTCGATTTATTTTAAATTGCAAGATTTTGTAATACAACAATATTTGATTATCTTTCTCAATGCAAAGGAAAATGTTTCAGCACATGAAGCATGACTCTTGTGAACTGTAATGTGAAGATTTAAGTCTCTTAAAAGTTTCAGTTAGAGGCACATCAAAATCTCACTCTGTGTGGGTTTTTCCTTTGCAAATAGCTATAGTGTTAATATAATGAAACATGCCTATTACTAAAGGGTTTAGAAAAGCAACAGTTTTGTTGGCCCATAAGAAAAATTCCAAAACCTCAGATTGGGTTATACTTGCATTACAACCTCTGAAAACATAATAAAATAGAACTTGGACCTGGTATTAAGAAAAAAGGTGGGGTGGTTGAACTTGATGTTGAAGCCACAAAGTGTAAATTTAGTCATCATCTTAAAATAGAGCATAAGAGGAGATTTCAGACTTATAGGACAATTCTGAAAATGCTTACTCAGAGGTAAGTCCCATTGAATTTAATGGGGGCTTACTCTTTATGCATCCTTTGCTTGGGAGAAAGCTCCATTGGTAGACAAGCATGGGATTTGGATAACAGTGGCTTAAGTTTTGATGCTATGAAGTTTTCAGGTTGAACTGGAGATTTCTGGGACAAAGGAGCATGCAATAACTGATCCCGCATCTTTGAAAACAAAAAATCTAGCTGCTACCAAGATCTACTTGCAGCCTTAAGCAAAACACACAAGAGTTTTGTGAAGAACAGAAATATATTTCAGCTTTTTAAAATTTACTTTAGGAATTAATTTTCTTTGGATTATAGAGCACAGAAGACTTTGTAATCACTTTATGTATGAATATACAAATAGAGCCTGTGTGAAGAGAGCAGACTCCTAAAAACTGGCAGCAAAACCCAAGAGAGCAACTTGTATAGTATTCCTATATTATATCCCAGTTCCAGCTAATGCTAACTGGAAAAACACACACTCCAAACTGCTAGTTGTTTCAGCACATCCCTTTAGGTGAATTACCCATTCAGGCAACTATCCAATTCATTAACATTCTTATTCATATCCCTGAGATATGAATAATGGCATAGTGATAGACTCATTTACAGTAATCATGTCTAAACCAAATGATCATTTTGACCACATTTCCTTCTGCACACAGCTATTTTCATTTCCAAAGTTGATTTGGCAAATAAAATAGTGCCACAATGTATTACATTTTTGCACACATTTGTTCATTCACAGACACACAAACACTTAATCCATTCAGCCCAGTCTTATGTACAGTTAGGATCACCTGGTCAGTGCCTTAGGGGTGTCTAACTCTCATAGACTCATTCTCTGTTTCTTTTTTCTTGGAAAGACACTACTGTGGAGGTCCACACTGCATGCTGCAGTGTGTGGTGCCATCATAATTTTCACCATCCTAAGGCCCTAGAGTGGTAGAGTGGATCCAGAACTGTTTAGTTTCCTGGAAAGGTGCAAAATTTGGGACCCTCTGATGCACTAGCCTAGAACTGGTGCAGCAAAATAATATTAATAACCCATCAGCACCTCCTTCTGCCCTGGCCAGCACATGCAGCAGCTCTTAGGACAGGGGTTGTCAACTGGTGCCTAACCAGACCTTTATTGGTGCCCCTGGGCAGTGGCCCCAGACTCTTAAGCTTTCATTTATTTAAAAAGTAAGTCTATAGCCCTCCAAGAAAAATAGGAAACAAAATGTGCTAGTGATTTCTGTGAGGTAGACTGACTACTCCTACCTGTTAGTGTTTTTAGCCAATGAGTCAAGTCAGAGCTGCAGTGGATATGTAATGTGTTTGGGCACTAGGCAACAGGATCTCTGGGGTCCCAAAGAGATGCTGTTTTCCTTCCCACTTGGTGCATTTTTGTTGCTTCTGTCTTATTTTCTAGTCCTTAGACTCTTCCTAATTGGCCCTTCCTTTCCCCCCAAGCATCCAGGATGCATCTTTCCTGTGATGGGTTCATCTGAAAGCAGATAGTCCATATATGTTATCTTCTACAAATACTACTACACAATAAGTGTGAGTGGAGGTTAAAGAATCCCCTCTCCCTGCAGAAAGGCAAATGTGGAAGGAGACTTAGGCTTGTCTCATGCTATGTAGGAGCTGAAGACCAGGCAGAATTAAGAATTCACTTACAGCGCAATAGCATGTATGTCTACTCAGAAGTAAGTCTCTTAGTGTTTAATAGGGCTTGCTACCAGGTCAGTGGGTATAGGATGGCAGCCTAGGCTTTGGGGCATGATTGGCATTGGGGAAAACAGGGTTCTTGTGCCTTTAGCAGCCATATGACAGGCATAAACCGGTTTCTAGTTTAGAAACACAGTTATGGGGGGAAAGCTCACCATGAGGTTACTCTCTCTATTTTTGGGTTATGCCATGGCCATAATGACAGTGATTTTGTGTGATGCCACACACCACACAGCAGCCATTTTGTGACCAGCACTCCCAGCACTCTCAAAATTCAACTATGCCCACTGGTCAACAAAAGTTGGAGACCTCTGGCTTAGGACGTAGCTGCAGATCCACTTTGATCTGTTCCAGCCTGCTGCTTCTGACCAGGGCTTCATATTGGTCTTATCATAGTTTTATGCATGTTGACTCAAAGTATTCAAATGAGTTTACTTCAATGTAAGCATGCATAGAAATGCTGTTGCTCTTTGCCTCCAAAAGTCCTTTATTTTCACATTGGCAGAGCAATTCCCCCCTCCCCATTCCTCTAATGCAGGCACTTCCAACAGGTAGATTGTGATCTACCGGTAGATCACTGGATGTCTGTGGTAGATCACTGGCTTCACCCATAGAAGCTCAACAACTTTGGCTCGCCTAAAAAACCCCTCAGCATTTTCTCTCTGCACCCCTAAAAAACAGGTCTTCCTCATCCCTAAAAAAAAGCTCAGCAACTCAATAACTTTGACCTAAACCCCACAAAAGGGGGTAGATCACTGCCAGTTTTTACCGGTAACTGTGAGTAGATCACAGTCACTTGGGAGTTGGCCACCCCTGCTCTAATGGATTCCTACAAGGGAGACAGACACCCCTGTATACAGCCCTAATCTTCAATATTTCGAGAGAAACAAAATTATATTAATAGCATATTCATAGTTTTGTTCTGGACTAAAGATGCCAGTAAATCCACCCCTGGACTAGTTTAAATGCATGCTAAAGTGAAATCATGCTCAAAGGTCTGAGACCCCACTTCTCCAACTGAATTGCCCATTCAGACAACCATCCACAGCCATTAACTCTCTTTTGTCAAATCCCTGATCAGCATCAAGCAGCGGTTTAGATAAAAGCATACTGATGAATTCATTTACACAGCAATCAGATGCCTAAGCTCACAATACCAAATGATCACTATGACCATTTATTTTTCCACTGGCACTGCCATTCCAATTTTCAGAATTGGGTTGGCAGACAAAACATTGCCACCATAGATTACATTTCTGCATGCACGTGTGTGTGTGTGTGTGTGTGTGTGCGCGCGCACACACACACACACACACACACACACACACTCCCTGTATCCATTCAGCCCAGTTTTTGGCACAGTTAGGTCCTTTTGAACTACTTATTCCCAACTCCATTGAAATTAGTAGGAAAATTCCATTTCATCTCTAGCCACAAGCATTCTTTCAATAATTTCTCATGTCTGAGCAACTTCATTAAGAAATAACCCCATGGCACCCACCACAGGGTTCAGTAAATATCCCCTCAAAAATCCACAATGCTGTTTGCACTGGCGTGCCTTCTTGACGGAACGTGCCCCTTTAAACCTGCCTGTGTTTGGATGCCAGACACTCTCCCTCTGTTCCGTTCTAAACAGAGGAGAGGTGCAAAGAGTTTCTCTTTGTGAACAAGTGAGGCAGTGACTAATACTCATTGATGGGGTGCCTGTACAATTTTGTGGCCCTGCCTCTTTTTCTGCTCTTACAGGTGGCACCCATTTGTGCTATGCCACCTTAGCATTGCAGCCATTTTTTATTATGCCACACTGACTGTTGCAGGCTGGGCTGCTGTTTTGAGCCCATGGACTGCCAGGATACACACCACTCTGTGTGGCATGTGGCAGTCCCTCAAAGCATAAGGGATGGAGGGGTAGTGTTTTGTTGTTTTTGTTTTAATTATTTACTTGTGTTTTTATTTTGTGTTCTTATGCATGCTCAATATGCAGTGTTATGCCACATTCTTATATAGCATGAAGCAACATGGCAGTTAGTGGCAAATGATCAAGCCTAAAATTCCTTACCATTCTTCAAGGATTTGAAGACTTGAAAATACTTTTGCCACCAGGGGGCAGAAAAGCACAAAGAAGGATAGCTACAATGCATAGCTTGGAATTAGTGGGGGATGGAATTAAGGCACACTTTCCTTTGACAGAAACATACATTGTAGATTTTTCTGTGGCTATAAATATCACAAAACTAGACCTAGGTTTGGTCATCATGCTTTCTTTACTTCTTCAGCTGTCATATCTTCAGCTGCAATCCTAAACACTCCTCCTCCTCCTTCTTCTTCCCTGACTTTTTCAAGGCAGCTGACAGATAAAAACAAGAATTGCTGAAAACAGAAAAAACAAAATTTAAAAATTAATAGAATTAAAAACTATATACCTATATAAAATCCATTTAAAGCATACAAATAATTACAATAAAAACAGCATGGCACGGCACCAGCCCTTTCATTAAAAGCAGTCATTTCCCCAGAGCCAGCTGGAACAAGAAGGTTTAGCTGCCAGCAGAAGGACAATAAAGAGGGAGCCAATCTAGCTTCTCCAGGGAGGGAGTTCCAGAGTCTGGGAGAAGCCACTGAGAAGGCCCTCTCCTGCATCCCCACCAAAAGGGACTGTGAGGGTGGCAGGACCAAGTGCCTCCCCTGAATATCTCAAAACCTGGGCAGGGTCATATGAGGGGAAACGGATTTTCAGATAGCTTGGACCTAAGCCATGTAGGGCTTTATAGGTCATAACTAGACTCTGAATTGTACCAACTGGATAGCACAACTGGACACCTTCATTTGCCCCATCTGCAACAAAACATGTCTCTTCCACATCGGTCTCCACAGCCACAGCCGGCGCTGCAACCATCCAACAGCTTGACCTCACCCCCAAAGGCGCACTCCTCCTTTGTCTCCCGAGACAGACAGATGCCAGCTCAAAGGTCTCTTGAGTGAACGCCCAATGGACCCAATGACTTGGTCAATAAGCCCTATCACTTCATCTCTTTAACACTCCCATTGGACTCAGTTTTGAAGACTCTCCTGAAAATATTGCTCAAGGTACATCTTCTAAACTTCCACAGTGTATAGACCGATGTAAATAATTCAAGGCCTGGGAGATTCTCTCTAAATCTCCTTTAGCATTTCCATCACATATCTGATGCTCCTTAGCCAGTTCTTGCTTCTTATGTAATGGGAGAGGAGGCATAGAAAGATTACTGGAGGACACAGCAATCTGTTTGCAAACCCATGTGCTCCAACACCAGTAAATACAAACTGAAATACAAATTTAAAGCTCGTTGTCAGATCCCAAAGTTCACAGGCATATTGCCAGATCACAAATATATCTCACTGAGGACAGATTGGCTGAGCAGGTGCTAAAGAAAACACAAAACACAGCACATGCTGTTCCAGTATTTTTCATTCGTGGACTCGGGTCACATGATGACAAGGTGCTAGCCAATCATATTCACTTACATAAGGCTAGCCTCCAGCCTTCTGGTAGTGAAAGATTCCCCATCCACCTGCCCACACATGCATACTTCCCTAACTTACTGAGATGCTCAGTCTATTTGATGAAGTGGGAGTTGTGAGAGAACAAGCTTTCATGACAGGAAACTAGAAATGTCAAAGAAAGGAAAGAAAGAAAGATTTAGGATGCTGTAATCACAGTAGCTATTCCTCAGCTTGAGAAACCCACCCCCTTCTTGGTTCAGCCAGGTCTGGCTGATATTTAACATTTCCCCCCCAGATTTACTCAATTTCCAGTAAACTGCACCTCCTTTAATTCCCACTTATTAAAAAGATATCTAAGAGAGTTCAAGTATTCCAAGAGAAAGGGGGAATTCTTAAGTTATAAAAAGGTGGTTTTTTTCTTCCTAAGAGGGAAGAAAACCCCCAAAGGAAGATACTTTTTGCCCCAAAGAACTCTACAGAATAGACTTTGTGTGAATATGAGCATTTAGCCATAAGACCGGTGATGTTTTCATTGCCAGATTTTTAATCGGGAGAAAGGACATGGAAGGAGAACAAGGAAGCAGCTGAGTTTTAAAAGCCGTAATAATGTGACTTCAGCAGCCCACACATAAAATGGCTAAATGTCAGTTCAGGACAAAGCTTAGACAGGCAGTTTCTCAGCAATTTAGACATCCTTTTCATGGAACACCTAGTTTCAAGGCATACAAAAGGTGAGCCTGTTCTCAACCTCATCCCTGTGATCGATTTAGCCTACACAATGCACCATTATAATTACTAGCAATAGCAACAATGACCTAATATAATTATGTTTAACACCTCAATAATTAGTGAGCTTCTGAGGTATAGAAATAATAAATTGGAAGTGGCAGGAGGGTGAGAATAAAGGGTGGCAGTTCAAAAGGCCTGGCACATCAAATGCTTTGAAGTGGTTTTCAAGCTTTTTGCCTTCCAAGAACCCTTTCCTCACTGACTTGTCTGCTTTGGAATCCCTGTGCATATGCGCAGAGCCCTTGTCTGCTGAAGAGCATTCTGGGACATGTTTTAGGGTGAACTTAGAAAGTTTGCACAAGCCAGGACATGAACTTAGAATATATGCAAAACTCCCCACATGGTGCCACATGGTATGGGGGAAGATCAAGAGTGCGGAACAAATGGTCTTTCATGGAAGCCAGCTCATCTTTGCTGGTTTTCTCATTGAAGAACACCAGGGTCCTCCAGAATGTAGTTTGAAAACCATCGAGCTATAGAGCTATAGAGCTATAGAGAGAGTGAAGAGATGCCTCTGATCATGCAATCTTTTCATAGTCAAAGCTTAAACCCTTTTCAGGCATTAAACAACTGGAGGGGAGAGGGGCAGTAAGGATGCGAACAAGACATTTCCCTCTCCATTGCTATTTCACAGCAGGGAGACTTTGTTTCTATAGAAGTTTCTGTGGGAGGAAAAATATGAATTCCTGTGACACATGTGTGCACGGCAAATAATAAAAGAATCAGCTGAGTGCTTTGATTCAAAACGTGGGGCTGAATTCTCTCTCCAGCAGGGGAGAGCCACACACTCAAGCAGTACCGTGAAGCATTGGCATGTAGACTGTTAAACCTTTTGCATATTCCATTTAGTCCACTTGCAAAGCGCTCCCCTCTTTCTACCCCACTTGCAATGGACAGACCACTTACTTTTAAGTAAGCTTAAAATGTGTTACTTACCAAATGTTCCAGATGTTAGATTCATGCATTTACCCAAGCAGCAGTAAGGAGAACACAGGCAGAATACTCTTGTGTAGAAAACACAGAGAAATAGCTTCAAACACATGCTCTAAGCTTGGAGCAAAGCTTAGACACATCTTCCTTGGTGAGATAAATGGTGAGATGAGAGACAGGAGGAATAAGAAAATTTCACTTCCTCCCTCATCATCTCCCTCATCAGAGAAGAGATGGCATGGCCTACCTGAGTCCAGGAACACAGTTCTATGATCTTAATTCCTTCATGCACTCACTAATGTTCATGCATAGTTATGTTTGGGTGCAATTTCCTGTGGCCCCTTGCATAATTAGGGTTCTGTAATGTGCAAGAAGACTCCAGGAATACAAAAAGCTACCCCTTGCAGACTCCACGCAGCTGAGCTAGTGTTTAAGAGGGCTTTAAACTGCTTTTCAACATCTATACCAGGCATAGGCAAACTCGGCCATCCAGATGTTTTGGGACTACAATTCCCATCATCCCTGACCACTGGTCCTGTTAGCTAGGGATCATGGGAGTTGTAGTCCTAAAACATCTGCAGGGCCGGGTTTGCCTATGCCTGATCTATATTCCCCATATGAGTATGCTATCTGCTATCAAGGAGCACATGAGTATTATCCTTCCCCTGCATATTATCCTCTCCCCTAGTCAGGACACCCATCCTGTCCAGAGCACAGATAATAAACCTACCATGAGTTGGAATCATCCTGTCAATCCCTGACTCATCTGCTTGGAATTCTGATCCCTGTTTCCTGTTTAAGAAAGTGATGGTTGTTTCTTAAGTTCCACACCAGGGTCTGAACCTATGGGAAACATACCCTCCAATACTGAGGCCCGGAGTGGATGAATATGTGACTTAGATCATTCCATTTACAAAAGCAATTCCCTACGTTCAGAGGCAGTATTCCCCTCTGTTATGTACTAAAGTTCTCACCCTGGGCCTGCAGGGGGATACTGTAGATAGTTATGCAAATGAAGGATCGAAAGTGACGTTCAGTTATTGGATAGTTTTAGAAAGTTGCTACAGTAACGTTGTAGTGGAGCTCTATATAAGCAGGCTGACTGAGCCCTTCAGCTCAGTTCTGTTCTGGCCTCTGAATAAACAAGAGCTGTTGAAGAATCGCTGTGTCGTCTGATATGTTCACGCACAACTTAACACCCTCAATGCCAGTAGATGGAAATCACAAGTGGGGAAAGTTCTGTTGCATTTAGGTTCTGCTTGCCAGAAACATCTGGTTGGCCATTGTGAGAACAGGACGCTGGACCAGATGGAACTTTGGCCCTAGCCAGCAGGGCACTTCTCATATTCTTATATTTTTACTCTCCTACCCTGCTGAGAGTCAAAACAAAACTGGCTGATTGAAAAGCAGTGACCTACAATTGACATGGACAGGATTTTGATTCTACTTAACAGACACCCCTACATAACAGATAGTAAGAAAGGACGGTTGTTTTCAAAAGCCAAAGAACACACGTTTTTAGCTCTGTGTCAACACTAATCATCCTTCAGGACCATTTGTTTATAGAGTCGCAACAGGTTCCATTTTGTGTCTAGAAATAACATATTCCAGTAGGAAACCACGTTGTGATAATCGCTGCACCAAGGGCAAGATCTCAGAAAGTATGCATCTGAAATAATAGTATTAATGACTCATTGGCATCCAGCATTTTGATGTACAAAGAAAGCAATGGGATATTCTACCCCCAAAGGTTACCCTCCATCCCCAAGCATCATTCCAGCCAATAAATGAATACATCTGCCCCATAGTTTTCCCCTGTCTTTAATATGGGTCTGTAATAGCACCGATTAGAAGAGCTCTCACAATGTGAAACAAATGCATGAAAAAGTAACGTACAAAAGCAACATTCAAAAATCCAAAGCTTTGTGAAAGGTCAATATTCAAATATAAGGGATGTTGTGAAAATCTGGCCCATTCCATGGAGTTCAATGCAACTTTAGATATTTTGAAATAAAGGTAATCAGAACATTTTAAAAATTATAATCAGTACCATTTTCCCCCTGGGGGTACTCAAGGGCAAGTGGTACCGGCACCTTTCCTCCTCAAAATGTTAAAAGTGTGGCACATACTGTAACAACTTCATGATGAGCACCGGTGCATTTTTTTCTAAAAGAAAAAAAGCACTGATTATAATGAGCTACAAAAAGGGATGAATATTAAAAACAGACCATAAAAGGTTACCTAACAAAATTGAAGGAAGGAAATGTCCCTTTACTTGGAACAAATTTTGTTGAAACATTATGACATCATAGCATTTGTGGGCCAGTGTAGGTATTATATGGAAATGCATAGCCAATGGGGGCAGGGGGAGGTTGTTTGCATTGGCTACTGGTTTCAAATTAAACAAGTCTTCTCCAGCAGTCCATTCAAGCGGCAGCTAGGATTGTCCTCAGCATCACTTGACCCTCTTGCTCTCATTCTGGGATCAAATCAGAAACCGGGAGGGCTTCTCTAAATCAGGGACGTTCCTGGAAAATAGGGACACTTGGAAGGTCTGCTATACTAAACTGAAATGTTTAAAAGTTTATTTGATTGTCCTTGAATCTTCCCAGCACACTTGCCATCTGCTCCTGCCACACCAGTGTGGCGCGCCACAACCTTTGAGAACCACTGTTATACAGCATGCATGCAATAATCTCCTGACAGATTTTTTTTAAAAAATGAAAGGAGCCTGCAAGCTTGAATGAGAGAATGTTAATGGGGAACAGTTGCTTAACCCTTTCCCCTCCAGCCATTTTGCTGCTCAGAATTCTGCCCCCACCCCAACTTACTTTTCCATGGTTGGGGGGGGGGGAATCTTGTTCTGTAGGTGGAAAGACATCTTGTAGCAAGAAAATGGCAAACCCACCCATACAGGTATATCTAGTAGAGACGGTTGTTTCTTCAAAAGGTAGGTGAAGTCCTGACAGGAAAATATGACGTGAAGATTAAAAGCTTCTAGAACTTCCTTGTTACATATGAATTTGCAGAAACTGCTCCAAGCAAGAGAACAATGTTGAAATAAAGTTTCCCTTGATGCTTAAGACATTAAATGTTACCATATATCAGCCGCAGGGCAAAGTGATCCATAACGAAGCATGCAATTTTCAGATGGGCTGGGCTGAAGAAGATAAAGCAGCAATGTCATAGAAAGCAAAAACATTACATAATAGGATATTAGAATCATAGAATCGTAGAGTGAGAAACATGGGCGTAGCCAGGGGCCCCCGGGAGGGGCAGCTGCCCCCACTAAATCAATAAAAATCAATGAAAATACATAGCACACTGAGGTTCTTTCCCCCCTATCAAATGGGGGATACCAAGGATAATCTAGTCCAAGCCCCTACAATGAAGGAATCTCAGCTAAAGCATCCATCCAAACATTGCTTAAAAACCTCCAAGGAAGGAGAGTCCATCAGCTCATGAGGGAGTCTGTTCCACTGTCGAACAGCTCTTAACCATCTGACAGGTCTTACTGATTTTTAGTTGGCATCTCTTCTGTTGTAACTTGAAGCCAATGGTTTAGGTCCTACCCTCCAGAGCAGGAGAAAACAAACCCGCTCCATCTTCCATGTGAAAAACCTTTAGATATTTGAATTATATATAATAATTGAATGGCTATCATATCTCTTCTCAGTCTCCTCATTGCCCTCCTCTGTACACATTCCAGCTTGTGAATATCCTTCTTAAATTGTGGTGCCTAGAACTGGACACAGTACCTCAGGTGTGGTGGCCCCCCGGCTTCTACTCCAGAAGACCCAAGAGCCACCAGCTACCACTGCTAGGTACAGTGTTGCTTTATTTTCAGGTTCCCCCTCTCAAGTTCCCCCTCTGCCTCGCTAAACATTCAAGGGTGTAGCTCAGGGGCTGCCTTCCCACAAAGAATTCTGGGCACTCAGGTTTAACCCTTGCAGAGTTTCAGTTACCAGCAACCCTTTACAAACTATAGTGCCCAGAATTATTTGAAGGGGGAAATGCGCTTCGAATGTGTTTTAAGGGGATAGTGTGTATATGCAGGGCAAACAGGAACTGCTCTTCCTGCTCAGTTCCTGTTTGCCCTGGCTCCTATTCTCCTATATGGGACACACCATCTTAAGCATGCCAACATTTTATGGGATGCCAGGATTGGACACCCACCTTTGTTGGGTTGAAATCACGACAGACGAGTGGTAGGTGTCATATGAGAGGCGTCTCCCCGGGGCAAGCCCCGGGAACTCTCTTTTATTGAATATTACAAACATTGCCACAGGTGTGCTTGTGGCTGATTGGTTGATACAAACACAAAGCATCTTGTTGCTGATTGGTTAACATAGGTACAAGGCGGGCATTACATATTACATTTATCACTGATAGATCAAAGACTGGGAAACGGAGCTGGAACTAGACAGGCATGAAACCTCCTAATTAAATTATACCTAAAGATTGATATTGAGAGAACATAACATGAAGGAATACAGCAATCACGTTCCGTAGATGTGGTCAACAATGCATTAAGAACAGGTCAGGATACACTGTTTCATGAACTCAATGGGAACTGTTCAGAACATTCTCAGACTCTTGTGCAGAAGCAGAGAAAAGATTATGAGCGAGACTTCCCAGAATGCAAGAGAAAAGAAGCAAGACTTTCCCACAATGCCACAGTTATGTGCAGTAAGAGAACTGCAGAAAGAAAACTTCCCTTCACACCTTCTCTTGTGCAAAGAGCATCTCACTGTGAGTGAGTGCAGCAGAAGCTGATGTAGGTGCCTTTCCGGCACTGATGGTGGTGGTGAAGGAGGGATGTCCATATCTTGTGATGGTCCTGGTCAGACATTTTGTGCCATATGGTGCCCCTGCGCCAGCCACATTTGTGTTACGCTGTTATGTACTGAGTTGAATAGGATCCAAACTGCAGCAGTCTGATTGGTCCTAGAACAATAGGATCCAAAATGCAGCAGTCTGATTGGTCCTAGAACAATAGGATTCAGAATGTAGCAGTCTGATTGGTCCTAGAACAATGCAGCAGTATGATTGGTTGGCAGGAACCACCCAATCCTGCTCCAGATAGAAGTGAATCCACAACCTGATTGGCTTACAGTAGAATTCCAGAATTAGCCAATCATGTGCAGCCCACTGTGTAAATAATGTATATAAAGCAGATACTGTGAGGGGACATTCATTCATTCCTCCTCACCACTATGAGCTGAATAAAGAGCATGAAATCACTTTGTGACTCTGAGTATATTTCATACGCCATGCCCCCTGGTAGCTATTTTGCAATTCCTCTCACAGATGAACGTGAAAAAAGGAGGGAGGTTGGTGGCGTTAAAAAAGAGAGAGGCGAGCCTTGATGTGTAGTTGCTGACACCTTTGAAATAAACCACCCCATCTACTTTCTAACTCTGGCTTGAATAATATGCATTTTAGTCAAGTCTGGTTCTGGCTGGAGGAAGAGTTTGCCAACAGTTTGAGGTAATGCTTTTGTTCTGTACTCAGTGCCCTTTTTCGGAGCCACCAAAAGTTGTTCCTGGCTGTTTTGTTGCAACTTGCAGCCTGGAAGCCTGTGTTCATGTCATGCTAATAATTGAAGTCAGCAAGAGAAAAAGTATTGCAGGGTGTGGCTGCTAACTGTCTGGCTCAAAAAGTGCACCCAGTCCATGGAGATCTAAGCAGCATCCACACTAGGGTAAGATATAGAATCATAGAATCATAGAGTTGGAAGAGACCACAAGGGCCATCGAGTCCAACCCCTGCCAAGCAGGAAACACCATCAGAGCACTCCTGACATATGGTTGTCAAGCCTCTGCTTAAAGACCTCCAAAGAAGGAGACTCCACCACACTCCTTGGCAGCAAATTCCACTGTCGAACAGCTCTTACTGTCAGGAAGTTCTTCCTAATGTTTAGGTGGAATCTTCTTTCTTGTAGTTTGGATCCATTGCTCCGTGTCCGCTTCTCTGGAGCAGCAGAAAACAACCTGCTCCTTAGATCAACAGCAGGCCACAGGCACTGATTGTTTTTTGTAAACGTTTCATGCTTAAAACCCAAGGTATTTAGAAATGTTAAATAACCCTGGCTTTCGCTGTTACCTGTATAGTTTTCCCTCTGAGAAAAAATTGGGAGGGATCAATACCAAAAGTACAACACACATGGACACTGAATTTTCACCCTGGTGAATATGAGGCCAGTCCCACCATTAGGCAGAGTGGGACGGCTGCTTCAGGCAGCAGAAGCTGCTTGGAACAGAGTGGCAGCAAGTTTTTGGAGGGCAGAATGGCCAACGTTCAGGGATGCTGGGAGTTGTAGTCCACCAGGTTCCCTGTCCCCAATGTATAGGATTGCAACCATGGTTATATAAGGGATCAGACTCATGCTATTATCTTTTCATAACAACCTATGGTTTGGTGTTAATTGACTTTCTAATACAAAGACTTGGATAATTTAATTGTCTCCGGAAGCTTGATAGCACTTCAACTAGGTCTGTATTTTGGGATGGAAGAGAACTGTGTCCAGAATCTAGGAACGTAAGTTCTATAAGTCCTGACAAACTGTTCCTTCTTTTCTTAGTGCCAGGAACTCTGTTTATATCTTGGAACACAATCTGCGCCAGTTCCTTCTGCCCACGAACCAGTGAGGGTGGGAAAAACAGACGATAATTGAAGAGAAAGGCAACACAAGCTCAGTGTGCATTTTAAAAACCAACAACTTAAAGCAGCGAGAGACCCTCACTGTCAGAGGTGGCTCCATTCCTATTTATATAACGGCTGATTCCATGGAGCTATGGCTCAGATATTTATCCACATTGCCACATGCAGATTGTTTTGTATTGCTCCCTTTCCAAGAAAAGAGAACAAATGCTTAATATCAGAGCTTGAAAGGCCTAGCATGAAACCAATAGCAAAGTAATGAAACAGAGTGTTCCAAATACTTTCGTGGAATCACAGTGTAGAAAAGCGATAATTCTGCGGGTGCTTCCGGAGAGCCATTTGCATTATATGCTGCAGATGGAATTGCTCACATCTGTTCTGACTTAGATGCCATGGGCTTTTATTTTATGTATTTATTTTTATTTTATTTAATGAATTTAAATTCTTCGCCAAGGAGCTCAAAGTGGAGTACATGCTTCTCTCTCTCCTCATTTAATCACAACAACCCTGTGAGGTAGGTTTAGACTGAGAGGCAGTGACTGGCCCAAGGTTACTCCGTGAGCTTCATGGCCAAATGGGGATTCAAACCCCAGCCTCCCAGGTGCTACTCCGACAGTTTAACTACAACACCACACAGGACATGGGTAAGCAAACTAGGGGCCAGATCCGGCCCAATCGCCTTCTAAATCCAGCCCGTGGACGGTCCAGGAAACAGCGTGTTTTTACATGAGTGGAATGTGTGCTTTTATTTAAAATGCATCTCTGAGTTATTTGTGGGGCATAGGAATTCGTTCATATTTTCCCCAAAAAATATTGTCCGGCCCCCAACAAGGTCTGAGGGACAGTGGACTGGCCGCCTGCTGAAACAGTCTGCTGACCCCTGACACAGGATCTTTAACATAGCCGGATAGAGATGCTCTTTTAGACATGTTTCAGCTTGTGCAAGCTGGTGTTGTAGACAGTGCTTTTTTTCTTAAAAAATGTTTAGGGGATAATGCTCTCTTTGACTCAAGAAAATCACCATTTTATAGTTCTAATTGGGAAAAATAAATACAGTAAATGGACAAAAGTACAAGGAACATGCATTACCTCATATTACACAGCTGACAGCTGACAGTAACTTCCACATTGGCATGAGGTTGTGTGCGCTAACATCCACATTCCACACTGCTTCACACATTAAACGCTCGCTTCCATCTAAGACTCAGGAAACATTGTGACAGGAAATAAGGCTGCCATTGGGGGTAGAAATGAAACTGACGATTCACTGTGCTAGAGAAGAAACAAAATTTTTAATTTTTTTTAGTTTCTTCTTCCGTTAGATTCACAAAATGTTTAGGGGTATGCGTACCCCTGTGTACCCCCCCCCAAAAAAAGCACTGGTTGTAGACAAGCTTCTTAAAGGCTTGGGACCTTTCAACTGTTTTTCAAATCCTTGCTCTTTCTGGTTATTAAAATCTGCTTGGCCTGAGCTTACTAAGAGAGGCAAAGGTTAAATCCCCACAGAATAAATTCAAATGTGGACTCTTTCATTTTGTATAAGTCTCACCCAGCATCTCACGTGCCGTCCTTGAGGAAGGTCTTAGAAAAGGTATGGGTATCATCCATGTGGTCTTGGATGTTATGAAAAATTTGGATTTAATCTTGGTCTCTCTGGTAGGCAGTATTAAATAAAATTGGGCAATATTAGAAAGAGAGAGAGAGAGAGAGAGACTATTTTAAATGCCGCTTAACATACATGCCTCTTGGTTTGAAAGAAATGTTAAATAGTACATTTGTAAATTTGTACTCTTCCTCTAAGGAATTAACACAGAGCCAACAAAAGGCAGTGTGATGCTTAGCAGGGACTCTTGACAGAGGTTTTAAAATGAAGAAATCTACAGTTAGAGCAGCTGCTCCCCCCTCCAATAACAGAGAAGCCAAAAGCAGCTTGAGTAATGGCTCCTTTGCAACCCCAATAGGCAATTCCAGGTCCCTTGTCAGTTGGTTGAGCAAGAATGGCTTTCTTGTCAATCTCAGACTGGAGAGAAGTATCATTCTCACCCACCTAACTCAAAGCTAAGCTGTATGCCATGCCAGCCTCGACCCTAGAGAAATTGAAGAGGGGGGAAAAAGAAAACACACGGAAGCAAATTGAAGCAAACAGATCAAGCCCCTAATAAACCCCTATTTTAAGGTTCACGCAAGTCAGAATCTAGACTAAATCTGGAGGAGAAAGGCTCCATTCATCTTGGGTCTATTTTACAGAGGACCTTCCTTGTGTAGGAAATCCAAGAAAAACTTGGAAAAAGAATTCTAACTCTGCTAATATATCTGAGCAAAGACTTCGCCTCTGTGAAACACAAAACAAGGAGGACCTTGTAAGAGACACCCCCCGCTAGCACCCCGAATATAGGAATTAACTGTGTCTGATTAAGACATAAAGAAAAAGAAAGCCAATGGAAGAAAAGGGGCTATACTCGCTTGGTGTATAGGAAGGACTCACATCTTTCTCCACAAGGACCACTATGGTTTAGCATGGGTTGCCATATTGTAGAGATCTCAGAATTGCACATAAAAAGTTCCAGGTATAATAATAATAATAATAATAATAATAATAATAATAATATCCTGCCCATCTAACTGGGTTGCACCAGCCACTCTGGGCAGCTTCCAACATATATAAAAACACAATAAAACATCAAACATTAAAAACTTCCCTAAACAGGGCTGCCTTCAGATGTCTTCTAAAAGTCAGATAGTTTATTTCCTTGACATCTGATGGGAGGGTGTTCCACAGGGCGGGTGCCACTACCGAGAAGGCCCTCTGCCTGGTTCTCTGTAACCTCACTTCTCGCAGGGAGGGAACCACCAGAAGGCCCTCAGAGCTAGACCTCAGTGTCCAGGCAGAACCCACTGCCTCCCCAGGTAGGGCAGGGAATGTCTCCTATGAAACCCTCAAGAGTCACTGCTGGTCAGTTTGGACAGCATTGTGCTGGATGGACCAATATTTTGACTCAATGTAAGGCCCCTTCCTATATTCCTGTGGTGTTTTATAGTCTTTGTTTTATGTCTTTATTTGTATAGTGTGAGACAGTGTTTCAGAGACAGTGTCACTGCAAGGAAAAGTACTTGTAACAAAAGCATTTTCTCCCTTGACTCACAGATCACAAATCATTGTTTAAAATGAACAAACATACAGTACTCAAATAATTAATCTGTCATACTCTGATCAAGCCC